TACAATGAATATTTAAGAATGTTGTACAAACGTGTAACAAGACTAAGGTAATTATGAAAAACTAGCAAGACTATAGCATAAAAATATCATTAGGGAATGAGGGTTTTCGCGATTGAAAAATCCGCCAGATGGCGATACGTGGACGCGGGGTTCAGATGCTGCGTGATTGGTTATTCTTGACATGACATTGACAGATATGTCAAAATCCACCAATCACGCAGCGGTCGGACCCCACGTCCGCGTCCCGCCATCTGGCGGATTTTTCAATCGCGAAAACCCTCATTACAAACCTTAGACTACTAAGTCACCAAGTAGGTGAAACCATTTCCAAGCATTGGAATTTGCTTAAACAGCCTTTTACTAATCCGCGTTTATACTAACTGTGAAAGCCAGAGAAATTGAGGGCATGGTCAATCAGGATATAGAGCAGCGCCGGGAGTCGGGACTAGTATGCAAATAACTGCATAAATAACAAATATCCGTCGGTTATTTTTAGCGTTAACATTAATTCAGGGCACACATAAAGCCAGTCTGGCTGGTTTGTCATCCAACAAAAATATCTTTTTAAATAACTGACCATGCCTGAGCGCGCCCGTTTATGAGTGTAGAAAGAAACCCCAAAAATACAGAAAATTCATTCAAGTTTATGTATAAAGATTAAAGATTCATTACAATACATATACAAAAGGTATAGCAACCTTTGGGCACACCAATACCGCCACAAGGTGTTGGTGGTCAGTCGCTTTATATCAAAAGAATGTAAAACGACAACATAAAAAATCGACGACTCATGTCGGGATTCGGTGGTTTGGTGTGTGTAGACTGCATTAGTCTTGCATGTGATTTCATAGTTGGATTTTTTCGTGTGGTCCTTAAGTTATTGTTTAATTTATTAATTAGAAAATCATCTAATTATTAATTAGTTCAGCCAATCCTACATTAATTGCCTGAACGGTATCTTTCACAAACCTGCTTCAGTCCTAATTGAATTGATTTCACCTTAGCTTAATTTAATTAAGATAAAATTAATTTATTTCAGTGGGTGCGAGCGTGGATCGCGTTCGGTGTAACGACTTGCGTCTGGGCACAAGATACAAACCTTGTAAGTAGCAATTTACAATTTCGGTATTTTGTAAAAGAAGGTAATACTTGAGTACTTGTTAGTAACAATTACAATTTATAATTGTAAAACAAGGTAATACTTCATTGAAGTAAATAGTAGTTGATAGCTCTATTAATACCTAGCGAATATTTACTGTTTTGTACAATGCAATAAATGATTGAGCATGGAGTAGGTATTATTTACCTATGTGATAATCGTAGTTTCAGTTACTGATGATTTAACTTAATGTGACGTTAGAAATAATAAATATTTGGCTGCGACTGACTGTAAAAGGAAATAATCAAATAAATCGTCTATTATTCAAAGTAAAATTGAGCATTGGTTTGATACTAAAACATATTAATGCCTATGTACACACAGAGTAAAGTTAATAACTTGATAATAGTGGTGGTAGGGGTATGAAGTAAACTTGGAAGATATTGCCGCATTGAAATTCTCGCAATAGTTCATTAAACTACTCCATTTTCCCTTATTTATTAGTCATATAAACGTCAAACGTCCATAGCAAGCGAAACAATACTTTACTGCCGATTTCCGGAGAAAGTTCATACGATACTATACCGGCACAATCCACAATAGCAAATGCAGATGGAGTCTTATCTAAGACGAAGTACAATGGATAAAAACTATAGTTTTTAGGGGGAGGACGAATGTAATTAATTGATCCGAGAACTACGTTAACGATTCATTGATACCTGCGTAACATTTTACTACATAGACGTTGAAACTTTCGTTAAGATTAAAGTGAAATGGTGTATTAAGCTTAGCTTCAAAATCGTACTAAGATTGTTTGTAAACAACTTTAACGGTTTACTTGAGATTTATGGGACCTAAAAAGATAGGATTAGGCTTTCTGCTGTAAATACTAATCAAAAAGGAGTGAAAATAGGGGAAGAAATTAAAATCATTAGAAAGCCATCTCATAAGAAATTCTGCATAATATATTAATGTTTAAACATTATCAAGTTTGCCAAGAACTTAAGCTTTGTTTGATTTCGTATTTTTCAAAACTATCTTTTAATCTCAATCGTTAATGATTTCTAAAATTAAAAATACACTTTACCCTGATTTTACTGATAAGATATGGCGCTAATCTAATAATAAGATTTGCATCAAAATCTTGATAAACGGTGGTCCATTTAACTCAAAGCTACACGTCCGCCCACCGTTAATGATCTCTAAAATTAAAAACACACTTCACCTTGATTTTACTGATAAGATATGGCGCTAATCTAGTTATAAGATTTGTATCAAAATCTTGATAAACGGTGGTCCATTTATGTCAAAGTTACACGTCCGCCCACTTATTATTTCTTCTAACTTACTGATAAAATTATCAGTCGAGCCTATTTCAACGAGGCACTTACTGCAAATCGGCTTTCAAATCCGTGGTTACTGGTTAATATTACTTAACTGATACTCCGTTTATCATAATTCTATTAAACCAAGTGGAAGTTAACTCGTGCTTTCACTGCCGGAGACAAGGCGAGCTTAAAGTACAAATGTAATGTAGAGACGATCGGTAGAGTTGCTAACGAAATGGAATCTTTATTTTCGTAAAAATATTTTCTGTCAGAAATATCTAAAGGTTAGTTGTTCGTTCGTTTCAGCCGAAAGACGTCCACTGCTGGACGACGAACGAAGTTGTAATGTCGTTCCATGTTATATTTTGTCTTAAAATTATAAAGAAAGAAGAAAAAGAGCCAGGCAATTGCAGCAGTTGTTGTGGGTTATTAAAGCTTTATTTACCTTCAAAGTTTACAAAACTCTATATACAAAGGACACAGATCAGAAAAGAAGTGTGTGTAAGAAGATTGATTTACGTAACATGCTTGCATCTAACTGTTTTGAACTGATATTTTTCAAAGCTCTTCCAGTAAATACAATGTTTAGATAAGTTAATATCTACTTAATATTTGCTATTCACAAACATTAGGTACACAGTGCGCGTGGACGCACAGGGTGACACACGAACCAATCACAGAGCTCTATGCGTTCGATTTGCTGCTTCACTTAAGCAAGCATCATTTATAAATACGGGCGTTAGAATATGTTATAGCTAGTGGGCCTACTTACCCTTGCTACTTTACAACTAAAGCTTCACTTATGTAATTTTAGGGCGCTTACATAAGTTTATGGGTAAAAGTAAACGCTCTAACTGGACCGGATTATTTATCGATCATTGGATCTATATTTATTGCGGTCTCAATAGACACGGTAACTAATTTATTGCTAAAGAACATGCAATATATTTTAAAATCCCTTCAATTTTTACGTGCCATGGAAAGGTTTGGTTGAACTTTCATTGCTTCTATATTACGTAGATCTACTAACATGTAGGTAGGTATGAGCACTTCATAATAATCTTATACATAACTAATATCTTATACTTAGTTCCAATAGAAGGATCACTCTGTCTGTCAGTATTTCTACATAATTCTGAGAGAAAAATATTAATTATCTCACTACTAAACAATACAAAAAGTTATACTTGATCAATTCTTAGTCTTTTCCTGCCGTAACTCTTTGTTAATTCTCTCATTAACACCAAAAAATTAACAGCCTATTAAAATACGGTAAAAACCTAAAGTTATCTTTATCTTTTAAAACATCTTTCCGGAACTCTGATGTAAAAACAAAGATGTTTCAGACAGCAGTTCAGTATTCAATGAACTGAACATTAAAATGTTTTATTTTAATGTCAATTGACACCACAGTCATTTATGAGCTGTAAAATCACACCAGTTTTAGCAGTTTTCAGGGCTAAACTAGAGTTTATAAAAAAGCTTTCAAATAAGCAATCCTCTTTGTTTGGTCAATTAATATAGTACTTATTATTATTCTGTGGTAATATTTACATCCTGTATAATATGCTCGCGTAGTAAAATTGAAAATCAAAAGTAAATTACGACCTAGCTTTTCTTAGCACGGCGTACCCTACAAAAACTCTGCTCGGACCACTTTCATCGTTCGTGGCTACACCGCTTTTACTCCTGGTTTTCCTTCGTATATGGCCCTGCCGGGACCAGATGCCGAGCCTATGTCTTCCTTATGTCATATGGTATGTGCATATGGACAGTAACTATGGGTTACGTGCTAAAACTGATTTATGATAACATAAAACTTATTAGAATTTTGCACATAGGAAAAAAGTACATTTAAATTAAAATGTAATATTAGTAAAAGTTAAAAATAGGATAAAATAAGTAGATAGAGTCTATATTATAGTCGTATATTAAGGGCACAATATAATCATACTAATTAATATTAATATTAATTAGTATGATTATAATTATAATCCTATCTTACTAATATTATAAATGCGAAAGTTTGGATGTCTGGATGGATGTGTGTTACTCTTTCACGCAAAAACTACTGAACGGATTTTGATGAAACTTTACAGTACCTATTATTCTTTATAACCCAGAATAACTTATAGGCTATAGGTATATGGCTTATAACGATCTGTGTCAAACTATATTTCACGCGGGTGAAGCCGCGGGCAAAAGCTAGTAATAATATAACTTACTGAATTCGAGAATATACCTCATACTCAGCCATCACACTACAAGTATAAGGCCTTTTGCAGGATTGAACATTCCAACTACAAATGAGTACATAATAATAATATCTTCCCGCCATTTACCAGATAATTTAATTTTCCACCAAAACCAACAATCTCTTCATACATCACCACACATTTTTCAATCTATATGAGCATGACCTGGATCAGTCCAACTTCCTCGATGTATTTGTGCCAAAAACAATGAAAAACCAAACACCGTAACTTCGCGTCGTCATCTTCAATAATTGACCCAGAAATAAACCTGATTGTGCTTACGTCTTACGTTTAATCTATAGATTATTGTAATATGGTAATATGGCGGTAGGCTCACCCAATAACACATAAGGAATGTGTCCTTTGTTCGGTATAGGACAGATATAAAACTAACTAAGCATTAAAGCCTTTTAAAAACATCTTTTGTTTTGCTTTTACCTTAACAAAGTAACAACTATGCAAAAGCTAATCTAAGGCACAGGCAACACAAAATTAAGTTCCATTACTTACCTAAGTAGCTTTTCATCATCATTTTCCTTGACTTGGCTTTCCCAAAGCTCGGGTTTGTACAAAAATAGAAAATACCAAATAACTTGGTTATACATAGGTAAAACCTTAACCTAGTTCTTAGTCCCTTAAATTCTCTATCATTGAGCAAATATCTATTTATACTATAATATGAGCCTGCCATTAATACATGAGTTGTGTACAATCAGGTGATGATAAGTATTATGCAAGTGGATAGAAAGTGTAATTGCTATTAATTAATGGTTACAGCGATCGTTAACCACTTCCCCGGCAACTCGTCCACGCTTGAACAACCTAAATAAATGTCAATAATTCATTTTAGTTATGATATTACACTTATGAAGGTCATGTCATGCTGCATAATTTTAAACATCACGACGCGTCTGATTTACGAACGTCTTAAATATGCATTAAAGTCATTTACGAGTAAATCTAGAACTAAAAATAATATTGCTTAACTACATTATGTACCTACCTAACTAACGTTTGAACGCCTGAAACGCTGAAAATATGATTTCAGTAAACTTTTGTATCGAGATCCCATAACTTAGACACGATCATCGTCTTGGCACAATCAGTTTACTTAGTTCTAAAAATAAAGAAAAAGCTTATCATCATCATTTCAGCCACAGGACGTCCACTGCTGAACATAGACCTCGTCGTCGTTTCAGCCAAATGACGTCCACTGCTGGACATAGGTCTCACCCAATGATTTCCACATCGCCCGGTTGGTAACGGCTGCATCTAGCGCCTTCCTGCTACCTTAAGAGGTCGTCAGTCCATTTTGTGGGCATGTGCATTAGTCATTTTGGAAAAATAGGGGTTAAACCCTATTTTTCCAAAATGACTAATGCACGGACGACACTGCCTCTTCAACCTATACCATAAAACTGAAAACTTATTTAGTTTGTAGTAATAGATTTTGTATTTTACAACTTGTAGATAGTTAATTTTTAATTACTTATTTTTATCAATAGCAGGTCCAGAATGGCGCGCGGTTCGAATGGGGCTGGCAGCTGGGGCCAGGTGCGCCCTCTACCGTCGGCCACTACTACGTCAAACTGCCACAGGTATAGAGGACCCACGCTGAACTGTCCCACCAAACTCAATGACAGGGGGGCGCTACCATCGTTCAACTATATGGTTTCCAACATGGCAAAAATCGGAATCAGCGATCCGGTATTGACGGTGGCGCCCCGCTGTCAATGTCATGGATAGGACAGTTCAGTATTTTGGAACTATATAATTATAGTCAGGTCATTTAGTCTCCACTGCAGAAGCACGATCCTCTCTAATATCGTTCGCTTCAACCAAAAGACGTCTCATCATCATCATCATCTCAGCCATAGGACGTCCACTGCTGAACATAGGCCTCCCCCAATGCTTTCCATGTTGATCGATTGGTAGCGGCCTGCGTCCAGCGCCTTCCTGCTACCTTTATGATGTTGTCGGTCCACCTTGTGGGTGGACGTCCCACGCTGCGACGAATCAAAGACGTCTACTGCTAATTATATTGCTGTCGCGACTGTGCGACGGGCGCCCGCAGTGAGTGTGCGAGCGCGACAGCAACATAATTACGCGCGAGCGATAAGGATGGGTAGCTTGGGGTAATTGGACAAAATTCTACGTGCTCACAGACCGGGCTTTAGACAAAGTCCAAGGATTTTCACAAACACTGGTCACGCGCTGCGCACATCCAGGTGTAAATGTTTTCCGCGACCTTCTTTAGATCGATCAGCCCATAGAGTAGGAAACCCAAACCAATCTGTGGACGCCACTCGAGGACTTCTGCCCTAACAATGTTTCAAACATTACCCCAGCAAAATCTGTTTTTTCCTAATAACTTTAAAATAATAATAATTTGAACGAATTTTGCTATTAGTGGACTTTCTGCTCACGATGGACTAATTATCTGCTATAGGTACTCTCGACTCTCTAAAGCACAACATTTATAAAAATTTTGCTGCGGTAATGCACTCGTAGGCTGACCGTAGCTGCGTAGGGTCAGCGTTGGGAGTGTAGGCCAAATCCTCTATTTCGAATTGTATCCTCTAGTCGGGTTGTACACGCGTTAAATTCCAATTTGTAATTACATTTTATTACCTATATTGATACATAACATTAATGAAAATAATTATTATGTATGTACTTACCTCAGGAAATGATACTTTCATGTTTTCTGCTGGAAATGACCGTGATAACACTTAAAATGCACTTACACTTCAGATTAAATTAAATTTAAAACTACCCTCATATCCTGACTATTATGGCTTCAACATACATATTTTTAATGCGCGGTTATTAGTTACAACTTATTTTACAGGTTAATTTGATAAACACTGTCGTTAAGTTGTTGTAGTGGGCAAGTACGAAAGAACAAGAGACAGATACTTTAATATGTACAGTTAGGTACCTGCTATAGCTAAGCCTATAGGTATTTTGCATAAGTTACAAAACTTGTTTTGGTTGGTTAGTGTAGTTCACCTATAATTATATTTTGATCTCGCTCCAGGTCTTGCTGATTTTCTTCGCCTCGTCTGCTAGCGCCGCGGCGCCGCCAAGTTTGTTTGGGGCGCGACTACGTTTGCGTTTTCCTTGATGTAAATTTTAAATAAACAACTTGAAAAAATCGAACTGCCTAAGGCGGGACTCGAACCCACGACCTTCCGCTTGCCGGGCGACTGCACTTCCAACTGAGTTACTTAGACACTGGATGAACCTGTCGAAATTTTCAAGTGTAAGGCTAGTTTAAGAGTCAAGCTGACGCACGCTGACCGTCAGCGCTGACAGCCGAAATGTATGAAGCGTCGACGCCGAGCGATCAACGTCACTCAGGAACGTTCCCTTCAATTACATACATATTGATCTGTCAGCGCCGACGATCGACGAACGAGCGGTTAGCGCGATTCTAAAACCCGCCTAATACGCTCTTATGGCCGCGTTTCTTGATGTACCTAATCAAGGAAACCCTCATTAATTCTGTTCTGTTCTTATTAAAGGCTGAGCAGAGCGTGCGGTACGCGGCCGACGGCTCCGGCTACCACGGAGCCCTAGCGCTGAATGCGAGCGATGGCGCTCACACGCACATCGCCAACTTCGCGCTCGGGCAGAGAGCGATAGAGCTGAATAACCAGAATGTAAGATCCTATTATGAAAATCCTATATTTTACAGGTATTAGGACATACCTACTTTTAAAATTTTTTTTAAGTTTTTTCCATATCTAGTGATAAACAAACCTAAAAATAAATCACTTGGTGGCAGTTTTCCTTCTAGTTTTAGGACTCTTTCAGATTAGACATTTTGAGCTGGACACAAGTCATCCGTTTGTAGGAAATCACAGTCTTATTTGAAATAACCCTTAGTTACAATAAAAGAAATCACGAAAGTTGTCATGCTGTGGTATTTTATGAAGTTGAAATACGAGTGCCANCGGAGGCGAAAGCAGGATAATAAATATAAATAAATATAAATATCCTTGGACATTTGACACTGCGCTTCTAGTCCCAAACTAAGCAAAGCTTGTACTATGGGTACTAGACAACGGATATAAACATACTTAAATACTTTTTTTTGTAAATACATACTTATTATACATAGAAAACACCCAGTCCAATACAAACAAATATGTTCATGCACACAAATGTTTGTACTGTGCGGAAATCGAACCCGCTACCTCCGGAATAGTTGTCCGTTTCGAACCACTACACCAAACGGCCGACAACCGGTATGACGATAACCGGTGTTTTTTGTATGGAGTTTGACAGATTTTTGACGTTTGTTAAGTTAAAGTAAGAGTATGCGCACACCGTTGATTTTTAGTTGGCCGGTAGTTGTGCCCGATTTTAATTTTTGTGAAGAATCGGCCAAATCGAATCGGCGTAGTGTGCGCACTCCCATACATGCCCATACTGATCAACAGCTCAACAAGGCAGAGGTGAACGCCATCTCTGGCTATGGACAGGAGGTACTGGCGGCAGCAGGAGTAATGGACTTGCGCATGTTGGAGGCAGAGGCAGCTCTTAAACTTAAGGATGCCAAGCTGCAGCACAAAGAAGCGGAGAACGAGCTTCTGAAGGCGACTCAGGGCGCAGCAGCGCCAGCAGCAGCAGCGACTTCCTTTCAGCCCAGCAGCCGCCAGCCGACCTTCAGCGAAATGGTACGCAGCAGGACAGGTCAGATTCCGATACCAGCAGCCAAGGGCCCAGTGATCGCGGTGTACCCAGCGGACTCAGCTTCCGAGACTCTCAAGACTGCTGAAGACACCAAAGCAGAGCTAAAGAGGGCCGTCGACCCGCGCAGACTTAATGTCCAGATCGACCGACTTCGAAAGGTGGGCAACGCGGGTGTGGTCATCCAGACCACATCCCCCGAGTCGGCCAGGCGCTTCAAAGAAGCAATCCCAGCTTCTCTGCGGGTGACGGAGCCTAAGCAGCGGCTGCCCCTCGTGGTGGTGTCCTCCATCACCGGGGACCCTGATCTCAAGGAGTTCGTGGAGGCTCTTCACGAGCAGAATGTGGCGAGCAACGAAAGCTGGCCCCTCGAGCGCTTCACCAAGGAGTGCAAAGGAGTTTTTAAAAAGAGCCGCCGGGGAAGTGGGACCACAGCAGTGGTCCTAGAGTGCTCCCCGGCCTGCAGGTTACTCCTACAGAATGCCACGGAAAAAAACCGACAGAAAAATAGGGAAGAAATAAATAACGAAGAGATTGAGATGACTTAAGATCTTATAGGTAGCAATAAAAGTACTAAGAGTCGTGTTGAATTGTTGATTATAATAAGAATAGCTTGTGCAGTTTTGTTATTATTTCTAATAAAAAACTACGCGGAATGGGCATTTTCTTTTCATATAAATACTGCCTTACCACGTTAATACTGTGTACCACGGTAGTGAGTCAGTGTGTACACCTAGTAGTCCACAGTGACTCAATTATCATTTTTTTGTTTTAGGTTCCTACTTTGACATAAGTAGTAAATAATGTAGAATCATGAGTGCTCAGTTACAGTTCAATAGTGTATCTAAAATGTGAGCAAATTTTAGGCCAATATTAAAGCGATATCTATTTTTATTAAGCTTCGAAAAAAAAGTGAGTCACTGTTGCCTCCCTGACCCTACGTAACCTAACAGACAGTTAACAAATTTTTCGGTCTTTAAATCAGTCAGAGTTAAACATACATAATAAATAGGTATGGCATACTCGTAGGTAAACATTATTACTTAGTTTCGATTGAGATCATTAATTGCAAATCAAATCAGTTAAAAAAGGAAGACTAGGCCAGTCTAAAAGCAACGTTAACCTATTAAATAATTAAAAACTAACTTTTGTCTAAGAAAACAGGCTTTCAAGAGTATTAAAGCTTCAAAATCGAAACTCGAGAATTCTCGAGCTCCGGTAATTTTTTTCTCGTCTAGAATGAAGCCAAATTTCTCGAGTTTTCTCGAGTTCGAGAAGGCTCGAGCAGAAACCCTATTTGTAACCCATGGATTATTGGCCAGGGAGTCCAGTAATAGAAAAATAATTTCCCAATTTTTTTTGTAACTTCAAAAATATGATAAAAAAAATTCAAATAACCATTTTGAAATGATCAGTCCTACATTTTTAAGCCTTAGTTTTTCAAGTGAAACCTTAAATTCAAGAAAGGATTATTTTTTAATTTGTGAAAATGCTCTCCATTCTTAGTGGGAATGTTTCAATGTTGGCAACACTTCTGAAATGTCAAAATTCCGTCGAATTAAAAATCAGAGTTTAGTTGTAATGTCGTTGGATTTTATATTTTGTCTTAAAAATATATAAAGAAAGAAGAAAAAGAGCTAGGCAATTGCAGCAGTTGTTGTGGGTTATTAAAGCTTTATTTACCTTCAAAGTTTACAAAACTCTATATACAAAGGACACAGATCAGAAAGAAGTATGGGTAATAAGATTGATTTACATTACATACCTACTTGCTTAAAACTGTTTTGAACTGATATTTTTCAAAGCTCTTCCAGTAAATACAATGTTTAGGTAATTTAGTAAACTAATACATTGCAAGATTAATGCCTGTATTCACAAACATTACTATGAAGTCTCACAGTGCGCGTGGACGCACAGGGTAACACACGAACCAATCACAGAGCTCTATGCGTTCGATTTGCTGCTTCACTTAAACAAAGCATCGTTTCTAAATACGGGCGTTGTATGTATATGTTATAACTAGTGCGCCTACTTACCCATGCTACTTTACAACTAAAGCTTCACTTATGTAATTTTAGGGCGCTTACATAAGTTTATGGGTAAAAGTAAACGCTCTAACTGGACCGGATTATTTATCGATCATTGGATCTATATTTATTGCGGTCTCAATAGACACGGTAACTAATTTATTGCTAAAGAACATGCAATATATTTTAAAATCCCTTCAATTTTTACGTGCCATGGAAAGGTTTGGTTGAACTTTCTTTGCTTTTCTATTACGTAGACCTACTAATACATTTATGAGCACATATCTTATACATAACTAATATCTTATACTTAGTTCCAATAGAAGGATCACTCTGTCTGCAGTATTTCTACAAAATTCTTCGAGAAAAATATTAATTATCGCACTACTAAATAATACAAAAAGTTATATTTGATAAATGCTTGTCTTTTTCTGCCGTAACTCTTTGTTAATCCACTCATTAACACCAAAAAATTAACAGCTTATTAAAATACGGTAGAAACCCAAGTTATCTTTATCTTTTAAAACATCTTTCCGGAATTCTGATGTAAAAACAAAGATGTTTCAGACAGCAGTTCAGTATTCAATGAACTGAACATTAAAATGTTTTATTTTAATGTCAATTGACACCACAGTCATTTATGAGCTGTAAAATCACACCAGTTTTAGCAGTTTTCAGGGCTAAACTAGAGTTTATAAAAAAGCTTTCAAATAAGCAATCCTCTTTGTTTGGTCAAGTAATATAGTACTTATTATTATTCTGTGGTAATATTTACATCCTGTATAATATGCTCGCGTAGTAAAATTGAAAATCAAAAGTAAATTACGACCTAGCTTTTCTTAGCACGGCGTACCCTACAAAAACTCTGCTCGGACCACTTTCATCGTTCGTGGCTACACCGCTTTTACTCCTGGTTTTCCTTCGTATATGGGCCTGCCGGGACCAGATGCCGAGCCTATGTCTTCCTTATGTCATATGGTATGTGCATATGGACAGTAACTATGGGTTACGTGCTTAAACTGATTTATGATAACATAAAACTTATTAGAATTTTGCACATAGGAAAAAAGTACATTTAAATTAAAATGTAATATTAGTAAAAGTTAAAAATAGGATAAAATAAGGAGATAGAGTCTATATTATAGTCGTATATTAAGGGCACAATATAATCATACTAATTAATATTATTATCCTATCTTACTAATATTATAAATGCGAAAGTTTGGATGTCTGGATGGATATGTGTTACTCTTTCACGCAAAAACTACTGAACGGATTTTGATGAAACTTTACAGTACCTATTATTCTTTATAACCCAGAATAACTTATAGGCTATAGGTATATGGCTTATAACGATCTGTGTCAAACTATATTTCACGCGGGTGAAGCCGCGGGCAAAAGCTAGTAATAATATAACTTACTGAATTCGAGAATATACCTCATACTCAGCCATCACACTACAAGTATAAGGCCTTTTGCAGGATTGAACATTCCAACTACAAATGAGTACCTACATAATATCTTCCCGCCATTTACCAGATAATTTAATTTTCCACCAAAACCAACAATCTCTTCATACACACCACACTTTTTCAGTCTATATGTGCAATGTGCATGACCTGGATCAGTCCAACTTCCTCGATGTATTTGTGCCAAAAACAATGAAAAACCAAACACCATAACTTCGCATCGTCATCTTCAATAATTGACCCAGAAACAAACCTGATTGTGCTTACATCTTACGTTTAATCTATAGATTATTGTAATATGGTAATATGGCGGTAGGCTCACTCTATAACATACCAAGTACATTATAAACATTGATTGAGCTCTACATTTATTCAAAATTGGATGGAAAAATATGTTTCAGAAAAATGAAACTTATAGGTGTTTAGAAAGAGTAAAATACACCGTGTTACTTTGCATTCTTACCTTATTCACAGAGATAAAAGTAGGGAACAATACCTATTATTTAAGATAAACAAGAGACTCCCATAAAGAAAGTACTAAGTTTTTAGTAAATTTGGTTTTTCAGTACAAATTGGAATAAACCAATTTTGTCTCGCACTTTCTACAGGTGCAATGAGGGTTTTCGCGATTTAAAAATCCGCCAGATGGCAATACGTAGACGTGAGGTCCAAATGCTGCATGATTGGTTATTTTTGACATGACATTGACAGATGTTATGTCAAAATCCACCAATCACGCAGCAGTCAGACGAAAACCCTCATTAAATCTTATGAAGATAACGCAAATCTTGCTTATAAATTAGACCGACTAACGATTCAGATTGTAGTTTGCAATTTGTAGTTTATACAAAAATAAAAAAATACCCCAAAAAACTTAATTCTTGGTCTGCGCTCGATATCTTTAAACAAAGCCTAAGTACCTATTCTAAGAAAAGAGCCTGCCATTGATACTTTTATTATGTACAATCAGGTGATGATAAGTATTATGCAAGTGAATAGAAAGTGTAATTGCTATTAATTAATAGTTACAGCAATCGTTAACCACTTCCCCGTCAACTCGTCCACGCTTGAACAACCTACTTAAATAAATGTCAATAATTCATTTTAGTTATGATATTACACTTGTGAAGGTCATGCATGCTTCATTATTTTAAGTATGGACGCCGATTTTATATTAAAGATATCTAAATAAATATGAATAAGTATGAATAAATCTTGAAACTAATAATAATATTACCTAAATAACAAAGTAACTGTCTATACAGGGTGTCCCAAAAAGTAGTGTCAAGCCAAAGCCCAGAGGTAGAGCATCACTAGGGCTATCCAAATCACCCCCATGTATGTTCAGCGATTTTTGATACTAGTTTTAAAGTTGATTTTTTTAAATTTCTGTGCTTAGGCATTTTTGGTCACTGTGGCGCGAATAGTCAAGTTACATGCCTGACTTTTTTATTATTATTAGATAAATACTAGGCCTAGCTGATTCAGTAACACAAAATAATGTAAACTAAAATACTGTGCTGTAAAAAAAATCATAAATCGAAAACTATCAAAAGTCACGGTGATTTGGGTTAGTATTATCTCTTGGTATATCTCTAGGCTTCGGCTTGACACTACTTTTTGGGACACCCTGTATATTTGTGACTTTAGAAGAACGCTGAGAATGATTTCAGTTAATTTATATTTCGTATCGAGACGATGAATTTCATCGAAAACATTTTTACCCATATTTTTCCAAAATGACTACCATTTCAACCTTTACACTGGAACCTATAAGTACAGACGAATGAGCACATCAAGTAAGCTTGATGTGCTCTACTTATTTGTAATTTGGATTTACTTGTTGAATGTTTAGTCTAATGTGCTCAGACAGTTGTTAAATAACTTCTACCTCTAGGTATACTTATTCAATTATTATTTTTATTTATTAGCAGGTCCAGAATGGCGCGAGGTTCGAATGGGGCTGGCAGCTGGGGCCAGGTGCACCCTCTACAGTTGGACACTACTACGTTAAACTGCCACAGGTAAGAACATCATTATCATCATCAGGTCATTCAGTCTCTAGTACAGGAACATGACTAAATAGACGTCTATTGTTGGGCAAAGGCCTCTCTCAAGAATTATGAAACATTTAGTTCTTGAAAGTTTCCGCTAGGGGCGCTGTGTAATCCGTCATACATTTAATGTGTCATTTTTTACGCGCTCACTAGTGAGGACATTTGAAACTCACACTAGGCCCTCAGGTCCGTGTCCACTCGAGATATTTTATGCCCCAGCGGCCATCTAGTACGAGCTATGTTCTAATTTACTAGAGACAAATGGACGATTTGGCTCGCAATACCGACTAATCACACACCATACATTCATAGTTTCCTTATAAAACGCTTAGGACTCCAATCCCATGTGTTACAACCTCTCCCCCTCACTAACTTAAACCATGCACACGTGTTAATTTACAAAATATATTTTTTTTATTTAATTAATATACATTTAAGGAAATATTATGTAGGTACTTACCTAGTAGCTTGAGATGACTTCTTAGGAAATGATACTTTCATGTTTTCTGCTGGAAATGACCGTGATAACACTTAAAATGCACTTACACTTCAGATTAAATTAAATTTAAAACTACCCTCATATCCTGACTATTATGGCTTCAACATACATATTTTTAATGAGCGGGTAATAATTACAACTTATTTTACAGGTTAATTTGATAAACACTGGCAAATATTTAAATAGGTCAATAACTAGTGCATAGTTTAAGTACATTTTAGTCAAGAATATGTATATCTTTTTGGAAATAAAATATTATTATTTTCATTTTTGTCTTTTGGACTCTCGGAACTTGTTCCGGTGTTGAAAAAGAAGACCTCACGGGTTGTTAACCAAGTGATTATTATTATTATTATTATTACTGTCGTTAAGTTGTTGTAGTGGGCAAGTACATGAAAGAACAAGAGACAGATACTTTAATATGTACAGTTACCTACTATAGCTAAGCCTATAGGTATTTTGCATAGTTACAGAACTTGTTTTGGTTGGTTAGTATAGTTCACCTATATATTTTGATCTCGCTCCAAGTCTTGCTGATTTTCTTCGCCTCGTCTGCTAGCGCCGCGGCGCCGCCAAGTTTGTTTGGACGACCGCGATTGCGTTTCCTTGATGTAAATTTTAAATAAACAACTTGAAAAAATCGAACTGCCAAAGGCAGGCGCGGGACTCGAACCCATGACCTTCCGCTTGCCTGGCGACTGCTCTTCCAACTGAGCTACTTAGACACTGGATGAACCTGTGGAAATTTTCAAGTGTAATACGCTGTTATGGTCGCCTTTCTTGATGTACTCAAGAAAACCCTCATTAATTATGTTCTGTTCTTCTTATAGGCTGAGCAGAGCGTGCGGTACGCGGCCGACGGCTCCGGCTACCACGGAGCCCTAGCGCTGAATGCGAGCGATGGCGCTCACACGCACATCGCCAACTTCGCGCTCGGGCAGAGAGCGATTGAGCTGAATAACCAGAATGTAAGACCCTATTATGAACATCCTATATTTTGCAGATATTAGGACATACCTACTTTAAAAAATATTAGTAAGTTTTGTCCCTATGTAGTGATCCCTACGCACCTGCAAAATAAATCACTTGGTGACAGTTTTAAGACTCTTTCAGATTAGACGTTTTGAGCTGGACGCAAGTCGTCCATTTGTAGGAAATCAGTCTTATTTGAAATAATAACCCTTAGTTACAATAAAATAAAGCACGAAAGTTGTCATGCTGTGGTATTTTATGAAGTTGAAATACGAGTGCCACTTTTAGAACAAAAACTCTTCTTTGAAGTACATATGTTTTCTGTTCATTTCAGATAATACCCCAGCCATTCCAGTTACCAGGAGCTAACAACACCCAGTTCCATCCACAAGGACTTCCAAACGGTGCTCCAAGTACTCCTATTGAAATATTCCTGCTCCAGCAACAGTTCCCTTCAGCCGTCAACCAGGAGCTCGTCCAAGTTCTACCAACTGCTATCCCTCGGAACCTAGTCCAATACAGCCCTACTCCAAACTTCTTCTACCCTCAAAACAGCGGCACAACACAGCTTTACAACCTTCAACAACAACACCCGGCACAGAACGAGAACGATGGTAAAGCAAGCGAAAATGAACGCTCTAGACCTCTTCATAAAGAGGATATTTCTGAGCAAGATCACGAGGTGTTAACGTCGTCGGTAGTCAAAGTATTCAAAGACGCCAACTGTTCGCACGATAACATTTCGGATTCGGTAGCAAAAGAAAGCGTTAGTGAAATAAGCCAGCCAAACAGAGTATCAACACCAAGTCCTAGCTACATTAATCGTGATATTAATAGTAATTTTGGCGCTAAAGATACCACTGGCCGACCCCTCACTTACAGAGGAGCGGTCCACTTTAGAGTAGAATCGCCTAGAGATAATGTACGAAGCGAGAGATATTACTACACAACCGTAACTCCACTGACACAGAACACAGAATACCAAAATAACGATGGGATATCGAAATTAGTAGCATCAACGCAAGATTTAATATCAAATGAGGATTTGCTAAGAATCAATCATGCTGTAGAAAAGCAAGTTAATATCCATACAGACGATATCATCAAACCCAGACCCAGATTTGGTTTGAAAGCTGAACAAACTAAATATAGGTACGAGCATCCAAGAAGCAAGATCACAGTCAAAGCTAAATTTGGGAAAATCGTCGATAGTAGCGTTGAACATGTTGAAAACAATCAATCTAAAGAACAAGTGAAACAGACAGGTTCGAACGAGTACAAATTTGCGTCTCCCATTGTTGTAGCAGAATCCGCTGATAATTACAAAGAACAAATTGTAAATAACTTAGTATCTACGATGGTTCCTTACATTGAAGACGGCTATGAGATTGTTAGTGTCAGAAACACTTTAGAAGATAATTATAAAGAACAGGATGAAAAGAAAAGTTATAAAGAAGATTTGATAAACGTCACTCCTAGACCTATTGGACAGAAATATCTAGCACCCATCACAGTAGCTTTAAGACTTCTGAATGCTAATTATACTGATACTCTAAACTCTGTTGAAGATCACGATGCATCTGACAGTGAGTTCATTCCAGAAACGGTTGAGAGTCCTAAGAAAGAAAAAACTCTTGTTGAAATCCAAGAATCTATTCCTGTATCAATAACCCACATAAATGATGTGGAAGTGCATGAATATTTAGATGAAGGGAGAGCTAACAACAAAGGCCCGTTAGATATAGCAAAAACATTGTACAGCAAGTATATGGAATCTATTGAATCTTCAAGGAAAATCCAGAAAAATATGAATAATTTGCTTTACAAATATGGTGTGGCAAGAAATCCTAACAATGAATTAAAAAACGAAGATAAAAATCAAGAGGATGGTTCAAAAGAAAATATAGATACAAGTGAAAATATGCAATCAGAAGTTCACGTAAAACCAGGAGATGATTCCAGCAATGAGAGGAGTGAGCTGATTAATTATTATGATTACGGATCTGACAATCAGAAAATCATTCAACCAATCATAATAGAAAAAGAAGTGCCAATAACAAAATTCGTAGATAGGTTTATTGAAAAACAAGTGCCCTACCCCGAACCAGTGGAAGTCGTCAAACATGTGCCGGTGGACAGGCCGGTAGCCGTTCCTGTGCCTTATGAGAAAATTGTTGAAAAACCAGTTGAAGTGACTAGATATGTCGATAAACCATACCCTGTAAACATACATCATCCTTACCCAGTCGAAGTCAAAGTTCCTTATCCAGTGGAACAACAAGTATTCATTGATCGACCGGTTCACATCCCTTATCCCGTTGAAAAAGTGATTGAAAAACAGGTAATCCAAACGGTGCCAGTACCGACCCCTGTGGCAGTCCCATATGAAGTTCAGGTGCCTGTAGAACAGAAGGTTTTATACCCTGTCCCAATAGAAACCCCAGTACCAGTGCCCGTTGAAGTAGAAAAGCCTGTACCCGTAGATAGAATCGTTCACAAGGAAGTGCCTGTACCATACCCTGTGGAAAAAAAGGTACCTTACCCAGTCCATTATGAAACTAAGGTACCTGTACCGTACCCAGTAGAAAAGAGAGTGCCAGTGAAGGTTGAAAAAATCGTAGAGAAACCGGTGACTGTGACTAAGGTCGTCGAAAAACCTGTTCATATTCAAGTACCGGTGCCCCAACCGGTTCCTTACGCTGTTCACGTTAGAGAACCATACCCAGTCGACAGGATAGTGGAGAAAAAGGTACCTTATCCCGTGCATATAGATCATATTGTCGAAAAGAAAGTGCCCGTAAAAGTTCCGTACCCAGTGCCGACGGTTGTCGAGAAAATTGTGGAAAAACCTGTAGTGGTAACGAAATACGTCGACAAACCATACCCAGTAGAGAAAAGGGTGCCGTACCCAGTAGAAAAGATCGTCGAAAAGAAGGTACCTTACCCCGTTCAGGTCCCAGTGGAAGTCAAAGTCCCGTACCCAGTTGACAGGATAGTAGAAAAGCAAGTGCATGTACCAGTAAGAGTGCCATATCCAGTTGATAGGATAGTAGAGAAACCGGTCGCCATTTTGGGTTACGGCTACAACTACGGTCACGGATCGCACCAGGCTCCAGCGACACAAAACCTTCAGTATATACGGCACGATCAGAAACAGCAGTCTTCAAATCAAGTTCTAAAAGACATACAGCAAATGCAAGCCAATATACAGTCGTTAAAAGATCGGCAGAAACAGCAAATTCAGAGCACACATTGGGGTAACCAGTACGCTTCCTCATACCAATACGGCAATGGAAGTAACCATAAAGTGAATGACATCAAAAAGTCGCTAGCAGAGTACATAAGTTACGTGACAAATACCCCCAATAACCAGTATTATGGTCCACCCCCTTTGCAGAACTACGATAACTGGTGGGAGAACAACAAAGATTATGTTGTAGAAATGAAAGTTAGACGGACTGACCGGACTCCTAAAGTGACTAAACTAAGGATAGAGTATGGAGGATTTAAACCTCCGTTAATCCCAAGTACAGAGGTAGACTTGGACGGGATACCAGTAAAGAAGGACGAAGAACTACCATGAGAATGAATTATGTACAATTTAGCAGTGGATTATGAGAAATTTTCATGGACATCAGTTATGCCCATGAGTGAAGGGGTATATTCCCACATGATCCTTCTGTTTTGCCCCATTCGTAGTTGGCTCCCACCAAGTCGTTATGGTGGGACCAAGGAGCCACCTAACACCCTGTATAATCCCATCATAAAATGGCGTGAGCCTGACGTATTATTTGTAAGAGACATGGGTCTATTGTGAGCCACTCTACGTCCTTTGAAAATACCTTCGAAAACATCGAAACTACTAGGCTAAAAAATCAATGCTCCTTGCAATATTGTAAATAATGTACGCTCTTATTAACTTATTGCTTAAATATTTGTTATAATGCTTATTTGTGTACAGAGTACCAATAAAATTAAATGTTGTTTTATTGTAAGTGTATTATTACAAAATTGTGATGATTTATTGTTTGTTGACTTTATATTTTACAGTTTTGTTAGAATTAAACTAATCGTTCACTTGTTAACTGTCAATTACAAAGTCAATTTTAGTTGTAAGAAATTCAAAATACTCAAAAACCTATTTTAACTTATTATTAGTGTTGTTTTAATGTTGTAGATATTTGAATTGTTTACTTAAATATAAACCTAAGTAAATACGACTTATGATTTCTTTGAATATATCCCTTTCATTTATTTTTATCCGAACTATATTTTATTAATTACTATGACAACTGGACTTCAGTTCAGTCCCAAGGTGTGATTCTGATATCCAAATAAAATTACTTTTTGAATAGGACTAATATCGAGAATTTTATAACAAACAACTTTTTCAAAACGACTCACCAATGGAAAGTAAATTTTTCTTTCACCAATCTTAAATGTTCATGTTGCAAGTAGTATTTAAACACCAGAAACATCTGTACTTTTCTGACAGGGGTATTTTACGTTCTGTATCTGCGAAATAAATTCAAGTGTTGGTATTATTCTTCTTATTCCAAAATACCATGAAAAAAAAACTCCAGAGCTGGAATTAAAAATAAAATTTATTTCCACTTGAATATCTCACAAAGGTCGTACCACGCGTCAACAGTCGTCGACTCTAATCTAAGTTATATCATAAAACAAAGCTCATATATATATATAAATATATTATTACAGTATGTAAACATTATACCCGGCCGAACGCCGCGCCGCCGGGTGACGTCACACGACACGCGCCATTTTGAAAACCTATCATACAGGGGGATATGTTATACCTTCTAGAACACTACATTAAAATTAATAAACGTGGTAACTTCCTACATAAAAAGTCAGAATCGAAATATGAATTCAAATTACGAGAAATATAAAACCACGAGACAACACGAAGTTGAAAAAACTAGATTAAAAACCACCTTGTATAAAAAGACCCATAGAGCAGTGAGGCTATTTATAAAATATAGCATAGCGGCAGCGTATACAATCCAGCGAACTTCTAATCTAAACGCAGTAACCTAATACACAACGATTATTACTCAATAACTCCGCACTTTCAAAAACGACCAGACGACAAAATATTTTACATTATTTTCAAATGAACATTAAATATAATACAAGTTGAGTCCCTTATTGCATTCAAATAATGTAATTTATTATATTACCATTGCTTTTCAAAACGAGGTATAATAAATGAAAACGAATCTAATGATCTAAAAAATTTATTACACAATAATATTTCATAGAAAACAACAGTAGTGTTGTACACGTTCCTTTATCGACATCGACAACTAATTTTCTGTCAAAACATTACATGCGATTAAAACACTTTGGCGGCGCGGCTTTCACTCAAAAAGATGTCTTATTTGTGATTTCATGTAAAAGTATAACACTACACTTAATTATATTATAGAAAAAACGCGATCGCCGCACAGCTTACACATACAGACGTACATACTATTTATTTAATATATTTATCACCTAGTAAGTATGCGAACATCTCACACGATAGAAAAGGAAAGCATCACACCAAATAACGAAAACGAAACTGTGTTAATCACCAAACCGAAGGCTGAGTACAATGCATTCAACTGAAAAACTTACATTTTGACACGACGAATAATGAACATTATTGCTATAACTACAAAGTTCATAATACTTTTATCACAAATACAATACACACCTAAAATTTCAGTAGTGTAAGTATAGACTATGATGCATCTATGTTGTGTAAAGTTACAGAATGAGAACGACGCTTTGACACTTTCTTTCTAATTTCAGCCTTACAATTAGAAAGAGTCTGCGCTGGCGACCGCGAGACAACCGCGTGACGCGATACACTATCGATATATTATGAACATTTATCGCTATTCGACGACAGCCACATATGTTTTTTTTTTTGTATATTTATATTTGTCATTATAATTGGAAAAAAATTATAATTAAACAACTAACACTAAATTGTATCTCTTGAGCGCAAACTCACTTTGTACATTATTACAATATGATTAAAAATACGTACTGTACGCGGTAGTAAGCATAGCACAAGACTGGCGGCGGTGCGGCGACAATGTCTTTTCAAAAGAAAACCATCAAAACGATTTAAAACGTGCCAAGAAAATAATTGATATAAATTAAAAACAATAAAAAATATTGGAACAACCCGCGCGCACCGCCCGCCAGTCGACTTATCTACAGAGAAAAAAATACAAATTCATGATAAGTAAAATTATATTACAAGTGGCGTAAATTGAGAGCGGGTTCACGATAAAAATCTTTAACTAATTCATTTAAAGTTTACTATTAAATAAACATTCGGTCTCAAGATCATGGTCGCTGTGAGCACGCCTCACGCTGGATATCTCCGATTGGCACATTGAAACCTTCTGCGAATGTCCCAACACTACACTATCGACACTATAAATAAAACTCTTAAGTCACAGATTTATCCATTTATTTGCATAGTGGACAGACCCACTGAGAGACTGGTCGAAGGTCGCGTTCGACAACAGTAAAACAATTTAAAAATCGAATGACGCGATCTTTCGATCGGCCCATCACTACATCTAGTTCGGATAAAGTCGTGTTTATCGTAATCGATTAAATCGATCATTCGATTTTCAAATTTGAAATTCGAAAGATTCCCATAAGCTTAACAATTACTCGTTTTTTATTTTCAACTTTGAACTTACTTTTAAATATCAACCTTATGTTTTTTTTACTAAGGTAAGTTTTGCAAGTATTTTATGCAATATTCGTAAACATCTCTAGCAGCAAAACTTTACAATGTAATCACTAGATACGTTCAAAAACATTGTGTACATACAAGTAGCGCAAGTATTTAGAATTGAGACAGCTGTAAGTTCCTCTCCCTTGCTCATTATACGCAAGAGCGGGATGGGCTTACAGCTGTCTCAATTCCAATCCTATTTATAGCGCATTGAAACTCGTCTTAATATTTCTGCTCCACCTGCATTCCAAACTGTGCCTTATTACTGGCTACATTACTCTTTTAATACAGTAATAATTAACGCAATTGCGTTAAAAAGGTTAAGGGAAAGGATCAAGACTTTTTCATAAACTAGCCTTGATGCAGGCGTGTGTCATCGAGAAATACAATAACGTGAAACGTTACATCGTCTATGCCTTCGCTTTATGACAAAGACATACAGGTTGTCCCAAAATTAGCACGTTATTACATCAGAGCTAGACTAGCTAGACTTTGGGACAGCCTGTATAATACTTTAATGACAGGTGAAGCAGAAGTGTGACGTCAAAACACCCTCAAACGCCGCCGCTTAGAAGTCGAAGAGTTCAGGAGGGGGGATGGGGTCAGTGGGAAGGCAATCGCAGGGGGGGGACCGGGTGCGCGCCTGCCGCCGCAACGTGTGTACGCTGACCGAGTACGATTGATGCTGCATGGCCGGTCGGAGCGTGCGCGATCTTGAGTCGTCTATATCCGCGCTCTCCGCCCGTAGGGACAGCGATGACCGAGGCTGTGGGATCGGTAGGAAGTTTCTCGCGGGAGAAACGGGCGGTCGTAGATAGTCGGAGCGCGCTAAAGAGAGTTCGGTCGGCGTATACGCCGCTAGGAAGTGGGCGAGTGCGCCGGACGGTGTCCGCATACCTCCGTTGGCGACGAGGACCATGTCTTCTGCGGATAGTCGCAGCGAGTCGGACCGCGGCGGCGGCGGCGGCGGCGGCGGCGGCGTGTCCCGCTCGTCGCCGGACGGCGGCGGCGGGCGGCGGCGGCGGCGGCGCGGGACGGTCCCGGGCAGTCACAGCTTGAGCTCGTTCGCGATCTTAGACGCAATGTTCTTGAAGCCGATGCTTGTGCCTGTAGGGTAAACGATTCAAATTGAAAAACCATATTGCAAGGGCATATCATTTCGTAAGTTATCCATCGACAGCTTGCATAGCACAGCTCTGTCAAATTGCTAATTACCTACATATTGTTTGTGAAAGTATACAATCGACACATTGAATACGCTGCCATCTTGATTACGCGCTACCTATGTCCCATTATCTAAGCTCGCGTGCTGCTAAAAGCATGCGTATCGCAGCGCCATCTATTGGATATCGTGAAGCACCGCCCACCGGGCCAGCGAATCTCTATCACTTTTGCTTCGATTTAGCACCATCTCTCTTCCACAACTTAAAACTACCTGCTTCGAAAAGCACGCAGGACCAGCGAGTCCGATCACTTTAAATACGAATTAGCGCCATCTGTAACTGTCTGCTGCTAAAAGCATGCTTTGTTCAGCGCCACCTACCGGATATCCTCTTGAACCGCACGCCTTTGAGCGACACGCGCGGGAGCTTGCAGACCTCAATCTCCCACTGCACCAGCGAGTCGGCGTTGGGTTCACCGTGCACGCACAGAAGCAGGAACCGGTCACGCTGTGATTTAGCGTCATCTATGTTCCACTACCAGAACTATTTGCTTCCAAAAGCATGCTATATTCAGCGTCACCTACCGGATATCCTCTTGAACCGCACGCCGTTGAGCGACAGGCGCGGCAGCTTGCACACCTCGATCTCCCACTGCACCAGCGAGTCGGCGTTAGGGTCTCCGTGCACGCACAGAAGAAGGAACCGCTCCCGCTGCTCGTAGTCGCAGTTGTTTGCGTCTAGCACCTAGAATGGGTAAGTATAAATAAATAAATATAAAGACAGTGTAATATACTATAACGACACTCGATTCAACGAAAAACTCCTTCTAACGTCGAAATTTCTTGACTTTCTTGGATTATGTTATTTTCTATTCGCTTTATCGTGTCACTCCATTTAACGATCGACGTCGAAAAATGCTCAGTCTCTTGAGGGTCGGCATATAGAGTACTATATCTATGACAAATCAGGTCATGGATTACTCGGCTATATGTAAGGGTTTTACAAGTCAAACCTTAAAATGCACTATAACCTCATGACTCAAAAGGTGAAATATATTTGTTCTTTTTTGTTTTTTCACAAATTGACCCTCTAAATGGTTCTGCTGTCTCAACTTGCAAACACAACAGAATTTCTTTAACTTGGTCAACTCATTTGAACTTGCTTGTTCATTGTGTAATCTTCCATCTATGCTATGAGAATATCGACAATCGATTGGACCAATGTGTTGACTCACTCATCACAAAGTGCAAATTCAAATTCTGTGCTCTAGTCTAGGGGGTATATTGCAGAACATAGCTCAAAACTCGAATCATTGAGGCTTACGGACAGTTAGATTCCAGTATTTAAAAATGAAAGACTCCTTACCTTCCTAATCTCAGCCATAATCTCGTTGGGATCCCGCGAGGAGGTAGTCTTCATGCTCCAGGTGAACCTCAGTACCCGCGGTTTCACCTGCTCCTCATTGCCCTGCCTACACACCGGCAGATCATATTAGTTTGTGGTTTAAGCTGTATTTAACCACCTACAGGTCCCAATATCAGTATTATCCTACACTTGGTAGTTTTGGAAATATTCTGTGGTTAATCTATGAATATATGTTGGTAATAAATAAGCATGGTTAAAATAGACCTGCAGCTAAAGTCCGGTCGCCGAGCAGATAGAATTTCGTCCAATGACCCCAAGCTACCCATCCTTATCGCTCGCGCGTAATTATATTGCTGTCGCTCTCGCACACTCACTACGGTCGCCGGTTTCACAATGAATGTGCGAGCGCGATAGCAATTACACGCGAAGGATGGGTAGCTTGGACGAAATTCTATCTGCTTGGCGACCGAACTTTACCTTCTGCGTACGAGAGGAGAATACGCGGCTTAACTTATCTAGGAAAATCTCCGGTAAATATTTATTACTGACAAAGATGGTTGAAGCATAGATTAACCGTAGAATATTAAAGATACGACTGGATATTGGAATCGTAGGTAGATAAAAACATCACACCCATATTTCCCTCTAGCAGGAATCATCAGCAGCAATAAATAGAACCCTGCTTGCTGTACAAACTTGGAGCCATTTTAAAAGAAGATTCTATCCAAATGTCCGACATTTTAGTTTACATTCTTGACGATAGATGGCGCTTATTTTACTATTTGTATTTTTAACGAAATTAACTTTCTTAGTGATAATAATACTTTTTTAAACAAGCTGTATGAATTAAAATGTAGATTAATAAGTCACAAAAATGTACGAATGACGATCGAGTGATTATGTATAAACTGATAAGTGTGTAAAACTTTGTATCCTATATTAATATAAAAAGGGAAAACCCAAACAAATTAATATATAGGTAACTGTACCTACTGTAAGACTAAGAGTAGGCGCACACCGTTGATTTTTAGTTGGCCGATAGTTGTGCCCGATTTCAAATTGTATGAAGAATCGGCGTAGTGTGCACACTCCCATACATGCCCATACTGATCAACTGCCCGACTAAACTATCGGTCGACGAAAAATTAACGTTGTGCTACTCTAATCTTATTCTTCGAGATTTCTGCACAATCGCATAAGCCACGCTCATAAAAATCTAGAACCATGCCGCATGATATTGTGCAAAAATATCAGAAATTCAAAAGTACTGTTTATTACATAGAAAACTATGTACACGGAAGTGACACATATTATGGCCTATTTCCATGTCTTTTTTTTTATCATAAGCGGCTTGTTAAAAATCCGAAATACTCGCGTTAGTCACACATTGCGACATCACAAAAAACACAAATAACATTTTCTCAAAAAAATATACCCAACAAAAAAATGCAGCAACACGGCCGTACCGTTTAAAAACTTGGGTAAAAATTAACGAGGGTAAAATGAACGGGAAATAATTACCCAAGGAGGGGTTGTGGGCTAGCTCCTACGGCATGCTTCGGGGTGGTGCCCTCCAATGGCCTAAAAACAGAAAAACATAAACTAACACTAAAAACTAAGGGCGCATCGCGCACACCGTACTGTGCCATCGTTGATTTGTAACAAGCCCGATATTTTTGTCGCCAATTGGAAAGAAAACCTTAAAAAATCACAAAAATAATTCATTAATGTACAATTTACTTAAAATTAAATTTAGATTTTTTTTTTCAAACATCAATAAAAAATACTTATGCAAAAATAAGAAGTTTTCATTCAGGGATCATGAAAAAAACTGGAGTCACAAGGCATTTACAATTTAAAATAACCAATTTATTATTTTTAACAGACAGTAACTTTAATAATTTCAACCAATTCATGCTAAAAACTACAAAGTAGTTCAAGAAAACTCGGGGTAGACTACATTAACCAGGAATTTAAGTACGTAGTTTGATACAAGTAAAAATTTTGATCTGGGACTTGTTACAATAGAACAGGGGTAGCTAAAAGGTGCAGATGTCACATAAGGGTAAAACTAGAAGCAGACAAAAAGCAAGCAAACACAAATAGCATCACAACAATTTTGGCCACTTTTGTTCATCCACTGATCACATTGATGAAGACAGTTTTTATTACTATGTCATATCAGTACAGTCAATTTTTTTTTATTATTCTGCAGCTGCCTCAACATGAACTCCGGATTACCGCGAAAAAACAGGCAGCCTTTTTTCTCGCGCGATGGTTATGTCAACTCAGTTATTCTTTAAAAAAAAAGCAAAGACCAAAACAAAAATCACTCTGGTGACAAAAAAAAAACTGATAATATCGATTGGATGTCCACAAAAATTTTACATACATTATATTATTTTGACATGGTTGCAATATTTGACAGTCTGATCAGTGGATTAAAGTACGTGGTTACCTATTCTAACATGCTAAAAAATACCTACGGGACTTACCAATCTGTAAAACATGCTCATACCATTATAAAAGTAGTACTCAAAATAACGTTTGATTAAAATAGGCGTAGTTTCACTTGAAACACTAAATGCTTTTTTATTTAATATAATAAATCATTTTTTATAAGACAATTTCTGACTACACAGAGGTGATTAAAGACACAAACAATTGAGCATTCAGTAGTTTCAAATGGTTTTTTCTCAGCTCGCAGAATATATCAATTTACCTGGTTTCATCATAACCAAAGTCAGGGGCAATGCATCACACGATTAGTCAAAGTTAAATGCCAAAACGTCTCAAACTCAAAGGGTATCCAGAATAAGCAGATTAAATTCCGTTATTTACCAAAAAACAAAGTCCAGCCGATTTTTCACTAATTTTTAACGCTATTATAAAACTTTCCGCCTATTAAAGTTCTAACTTTTCTATGTTGCTAGCTTCAGACTTCAGAAAACTTTCATCTTTTTGTATAATAATGTTAATCGATACGAAAATCGGTGATAAATCAAATCATTTTAACATTTACTTCAGGTTTGTCTCATAAATAGATAAGAAAGAAATCTTGATTGTTGCTTAGATCAAATCGGCTGGACGTCAACGAAAAAAAAAACATTATTTCAAAATTTTAATACGAACGATACGTTTTCAATGTAAATACATGTTAATACTTGTATATAAATAAGTTTACATGTAATAAAAAAACACAATTAATTAATAAAATATTAATAATACGAAAAAAGCACTTTATTTACTTGTTAATTGTGAGTCATTTTTGTTTCAGCAATTCATAAATAAAATAATAAAAACATTACAAATAAATAATAATTAATACACATAAGTAGATAAATATAGCGCAAAAAAACTCAAAAAAATTAGTAACAAAACGCATCGTTCTCAAAAAAAGAAATCACCAAACTTTAGGGTATTATTGGAAAAGAAAAATTGGAAATAAAACATTTTTCCATACGATCCGCGCGCGTACCTCCTTTGTATGTCCAGGGAGGAAAATATGCGGGGCTTCTGGCGTCCGCCCGCCTCACCCAACACGGAAAGGCTGATGAAACAATACTTACCGTTACTACTGGCCAACTAACACTAGTTACTAGTTGTGAGTGACAATGGTCATTAGTAGTGACACTGGTCACTATTAGTGACACTAGCATACTACAGCTTGATCGCCTAAGACTGGTTATTCAGCAACGTTTATGAGACTCGCGTTTTGACAGGTCATGAAAATACACATAAAATAAACAGTTACGATATAATTATGTGATTTTTCTGCCTTTTTAATTGAACGCTGTCAACTAATAAGACAGAAATGACACCAAGCCTCGTTGTATCGTATCGGGAGTAGTGACAAAAAAGAAGATCCTAAAGATAACAAAATAGCCAGTCCTATAGGATCCTAGAGAACTCAAAAGTAGTAAAAAATATACTTATACATACTACAACTAAAGCTGTGTGAGAGCTTAATCACACTGGTGCCTAATCTAAAGTCACTTCTGTAGACAACTATATTCGACACAAAAATAAAAACAGCTAATTCACAAACTTTTTTTAATATAGCAACGTGACACTTTTGAAATATAAAACAGAGGTAATTATGTATTTTTGTCAATATTTCTATGTGTTTCTATTCATATTGAAACGTTGATCGATCGTTGTAATGAGCCAAAGTAGGTACCAACACAAAAATACAATTTTATTTTATTAATTAGGTTATGTAAAAAAATCTGACTTAAGTTCGACCAGTTTAGAAGAAGCTTGGCTAGAAGATTTTTCTTTAGTAGGTTGTATTATCGTAGGTATAAAATAGAGGGTTATGAAAATAAAACACATATCTATGTTATTGAAAACCTGATTATTCGGAGAAGCGCAACACATCCATAAACACAGTATTCACAGTATTTTAAATCTCTAATCCAGTCCTAAACCACAATGTTTACGTTTGCGACTAAGTCGGTAATTGTAGGCCTTTCTATTACAATATTCAGCGGCGAAGTTAAATTTTAGTCATGTTAAAAAATATTTCATTGTAATGTAAAATCTTAGTGAATAAATTACTTACATAGTACACATTTTTGTGATGGTGAGTGTACATTGTCAGTATTTGCTACGTGTGCTACGTACGATGTCACGAAACGAAGGACGTGATTTGTACAATACAAAACTGACATGTTATTTTTATATTTCAAAGAAGGCGTAGAAAAATACCTAATACAAAACTTTATTAGTTTTGTTTTATCATGTAATAAATAATAATTTGTTCGCCGCCAAATAATGCATTCCAAATAGTTACAGAAGCTAAAATTGAGAATAATTATTTACTTTTAACAATTATGTACTCTGCGTTCTACTTACAGTCACAAACATCAAACATATGTAAAATATGGTAATTATAAATGCATTTACAGCAATGCCCATGTTATATTACATAGTTGGATGGATTTTAAATGTATATTTATATGTATGAAACACATCGTAGGGACATTTGTATTGATTTGTCACGTATGGTGGACACATATTTTTGTGGCATCGAAATCGTATCCACCATTTAGAATTCCACAAAAATACATATCGAATTTAATTGTTTATGTCATTCAAAGTCTAGATGTCAAATCCCTTCGATATGTCACACTTTACACAATGTCAATAATTACGGCGAAACGAAGTAAAAATGCTAAGTAAAGCAAATAAAATGTCAAATTAAAAAAGGCAAAATAAACGACGAAAAATCTCAATTATAAAGATTACAATTAAATATCTAACTAAACTTAGCATCTAAGTTAGAATGTATTGCATTTTTCCTATCATGTGTAATAATTATACTTACAATTATAATTCCTAAAATAAAAAAGAAATGCTCAATGAAAAAAAAAAGAAATTAATGCACAATTCTGTGCGTCCGATACACATTGATCTATAGCTGTATAATATTAAATTACATAATATAATTTCGTTTTAAGTAGGCAACATGAATGAGGAATCCATATTTAGTACTTAACAGTACAACCTCCAAAATTATAATTCAACATTTGCTTTGTCCCTGTATAATTTCACAATAAATCTTTTCATGATTTTGTACATTCAAAAATATGTTTTAATCGTCGTATTATTAAGTAAACTTAAACATTACTAATATCACGAATTTAATTTAATATCAAATCATTTCCAAGCTCAGGCTATGCGTTTTGAAAAAAGCATCTTTTAATCATCTGTTTAATTTCTTTACAAGTCGATTTACGCTCGTATTCACAAACGATGCTTGCTTAAGTGAAGCAGCAAATCGAACGCACAGCGTTGAATAGAGCTCTGTGATTGGTTCGTGTGTCAACCTGTGCGTCCACGCGCACTGAGATCTCGTAGTAATGTTTATGAACACGGGCGTGAATGTATATTAAATGAAACATAATTTAGAGGTGTGTACTAATAAATCTAAATAAAATTCCGATGTCAGCCATGGACGTCAAGAGAGTTAACGATGACACTAAGAGCACCTAGTTTGACATAAATTTGTTCGGATAACTATCTAATTTTAGATATACACGATTTAAAAAAATTAAGACAATACTGGACACTAACAACTAGATATACGTAAACACGTTTACGTAAATATGAATATAGACAAATACATATACATATGTTTTAAATAAACTTATAAGTCAAAAACTGTACATCCAAATGCAACATGAGTATGAGTCTACAATTTTTTTAGTAAATCAAACTACATTTTGCATTCGTCTGTACAAATTCACATCGAGTCTTGTTACTAGTATAACAAAAAAACTACAAATAGAATATTAAAAACGGGGAAAAATACAATTGTATAAATATTTAGATATTTATTTAGATATACGGAGTCTTCATATTATATAGAAAAGTTAGGAAAACAGACATACCTATGTAAAAAGATACATCCACACTCCATATCATGCGCACCACTCGTACAAATATGTACAATTTAAAGATCCTAATCAAATATAAACCTACACGTATGAGTAATCAGAAAATATGGAAATCTTACTGCTGAATAGTGATTTTTATATATTTTCGATTATTTATTATTGCATCAACATTATTGAGAACGTATTTAACATTTATCATCTATTTTCAAATCTAACACCGATTCACGATAGCTGTGGTACTATTAAAATATTTCAACTAGTGTAACAAATATAAATATCCTTTACACAGCTACAGAGTACAGTCGTGGATAAAAGGGGTACATGACCTAAAATATTAATTTGTGTAGTTAAACATACAGCTGCTGCCTATGTGTTTTTTTCTATATGGTAACATCTACTGAGTATTTGTACCAAACTATAGGATGGGCCGCTCCTTACTCGCTAACTAATATACTGATAGATCTCACTCACTCCTTAAACATTATTCAATAATTGCATTGCGTGGACCATTTCCCAAGCATGTATAATTGTCTAGGAAAATACAGCGTGTACAAAATATCGTAGAGGAAACATGGACGATGCTTACGTCAGATGTCAAGAGTGGTGAGGACAGTCGCATGGTCCACAATAACGCTCAACAACAAGAAATTGTCACTGAAAAATCTAAGTATAGTGTGTATAATAATACAAATATACAAAATATTTTTTTCAGTCGTCGAAATTTTTAACATCTCATGCAGAGTCCGAAATAAATATGAACAAAACGAGTTTGTATTTTTTGTGCATTTTTGTGAACTTAAAAAAGCGTAAACACGGAACCCTGGAATGTAGAGAATTCGTTCGAAATCAAATACTTCTTAAGAGCTAGGATGAAATGCAGACCGCGACGGGACTAGATCTCTGCTACATGTTATTTGATGAAAGTCACAAATGGCACTAATAGATAGCACAACCATTTATCACTTTAAGAAAAAACTACCAATTTGAAAAAAAAAAAAAAACAAAAAAAAAATTTTTATGTCAAAAAAATGGTGTTATTTTAAAAAACTAGATTTTTTTTTCAGGCACATTTGCCAAGTTCAAACAAATAACATGTAGATGGAAATGTCGCCGCGATATAATATTTTTTTAAATTATTTAATATTTAATAATGAATACAAATCGAATTATCGAATTCCAATCAAATGTCAACTAGGATGGAAGCTTTATAAACCAATGAAAAAAGTTAACACCTAAATAAATTCACTGCTCGCTGTATCAAATGTGAAACAGACAATCAGAATAAATATAATCATGTTTCATATTTGATACAACGAGTAGCTCGTATAAAGTTATCTGTTATTTACCCAAAGGCACATATAATATTAAAATAAATTGTACATTTTTAATTAATTACTACTGTCTTAGGGTTGAGTTAGTTTGCTGCGAATAAGATTTTTTGTCAGTAAGAATGCTAAATATGGCCTATGAGTAAATTCCCAGTGTAATTTATACTAATTTTTCTAATATTTTAACGTTAGTCCTTCTTGAAGCCTCCCAGTGGTACGTCGCTCCGCTCATGGGTTTTGGTTCAACCTGCGTAAAACGGAACGGGTGAGCGAGACGACTAATCTTCAGCCGAATCGCCGCCCTCTTCTCACTCCGGCTCACTTGTTTTTAACTTTTTTTTTACTTCACTGAATATAAAGTCGCCATAATTGGGTCGAAAAGTCGACAGACGCATACGTTTGCTAGATCGCTAGCATTTGACCGTTAAACGTAAAAGCATAGACAATGTAACACCGCTTCGTTACCGAGTCATCAAAATGTAGATGGCGTTGTGGAATTCGCTTCTAATTTCTTAACACTAGAGTCGACTTCACGATGTCACTCATATACATTTTGAACTATTCGATATCGATAAAGCATGTTACACTGTCTAGCCTTTCAGTACCGTATAATCCGTATGGCAACCTTATAAAATCGCTCGCGTTTCAACACAATCAGATGCACAATACTATTGACAAAAACTCCCTCCGTTTGATATTTGAAAAAAAGAACTGTCACGTTGCGACACTTACGCAAAAGGGTTGTGGATAGACAAAGCGAGACGGCATGATAGACGCGACCGTTAGTAGAAGCGTACGGTTAGAAAAAAAATTAGTCTCGGTACGGGGGATGCACGAGGTATCTTTAAAATGCCAAAAATGTATTTTATTCTTTCACCGTACACCTCTTAACTCGACGAGGCCGGAACCGGTATGTCACGGTACTTACGTTACACGTTGAATCGCGTCACTAGCAAGCACTACGGACAACACTCAAAGCGTACAGGCATTGCGCTTGTATTGCCTTTGCTCACATCGTCAGCGAAATAAAAAAATAAAATTAAAAAAGTAGCGATTCATTCAGAAAAGGGGATCACAACATGCTTCCATCTACGTTTCAACTACTTGAGACTCGGGCTTTTTACTCAAGCGATGTAAACTTTCGAAAAAAACAAAAATACGTTTATGGATAGTCTATGGGCATTGAGGAGAGAGCGCGCAATTACAAAATAACCTTGTGCGTACGTATTCTAGTGAAAGGGAGAATTAAGGGAGGTTTTAGCATCGTGCATCCCCTGTATTGGCGAGTTCGAAAAAAAAGTAAAAATATATGTATGTATATAATATCAGAGCTCGGAAGTCGATCGAGGGAGACAATTTTAGCATCGACAAGTGAAATAAACACACAACGAACAAGACGAGACATGGGTTAATCAAGTGACAAGTTAAACAACAGTGTGTTACGAATGGTGTACAATTATTTACATAAAACAAAAAAGAACAGTAAGTGGGAGAGGACACGTGAACAGAATGGGAGCCCTTTTGACAATGTTTCGCTAAGTACAGTTAAAACACATTAATTATGCCGGTATTAGTTTTAATTACATTAAACAGACACAGAAAATAAGTTGGAAAGTTAAAGTTTGCAAGAAGAAAGTACAAAGCAGAAATATATAATTTTGCACTTTTGTCATCGATTGTACCTGTCATTTTCAAAGAATATTTTTGATAAAAAAATTAGGTGAGAAGATTCAAAATATTGTAATGAAGGAATCATAATCATGCAATAAACACTATCAATTGGAGCTCATACTGTTCAAAATGGAACTTTGATTCAATAGTAATAAGTAGTCTTTTTCCACAACCCTTTTTCAACTATCAGTTGGACATAGTCCGCCGTAGGCGAATAAATATAGGAAATATATTTTAATTATAATTGTATCGTGTAAAGTATGTCGAATGAGACAGTGCAGCAAGCGGTGCAATGCTAACATTGAAGCGTTGCGTGAAATGATATTTCTAGCTTAATTTTATTTTCTTTAAGACTTTTGTGTGCGATTGTACTTTATCTTTTGATTTTTGAGTTTAGTAAAGGTCACAGCAGACATATCAACTCGGAAAGGGATCAAAACCGTATCGCCTTCCGCGCGCTGTCAATCGCGCGCGAGGCGTTTGCTTACGGTGCGGATACGTGTGCGTTGCAGTATGGAGTTTCATACAAAGAATACTGGCCGCCTCGAGTTGATACGGTTACGATCCCTTTCCGAGTTGATATGTCTGCTATGACCTTTAATAGTATATTAGGCACAAAAGCACACGAAAAGCAGAAATGATTCTATATAGCTCAAAGCGTCATAGCTCATGGGACACAATGTTGGAAAATAATAACCTATTCCCAAAAGGTTAGTCACATGTTAGTAGATCGATGGTTAGTGACGTGACTTTTATAAATTGTGTGTTTTGTGAGATGTTAGTAGGTTATGAATAATTACTGAAGTAGTTCAAGATTGAAAGATTCGTTTGAATAAGTGAGTAGATACGCGAAACACCATTCAACTTGATATTTATTCAATGTTTTTTATTTACACAAAACATAGAAGAAAGGTGTTTCATGTCGACGAACCATACAAAATGAATCATTGGAGAACCATACAACCCATGTAGCAAACTTATACAACTTAGAGTCTGACTAAAGAAGATTGTAGTTATGAGAACTCTGTGATTTGAATTACCTTTACAGTAATGAAAAAATTGGATCACTCTAGTTAAACTTAGGCACCCGTTTTATCCTTTAGGGGGTGAATGTAGCAAAATCTTTTCTTTTTGGAAGAATAAAGGAGAATTTCAACAAGTTTCGGTTGCTGTTTTGACATAAGTATTTATATTTTAGCTTAATAAAACCTAAACAGTTAGTCCCCGTTTTTTGCACCAGGACCTTTGACTACCTAGCTACGACCTAGCAGCAGTCAGTCAGTTGCTTTTTACATGCAGATTCCACAAAGTTGTATAAGTTCACTCAGCTGTAAGGCTGTTTCCACCAAATGGAAAGAAGAGTAGGTGTTTGAATGACCAACCACATTTCGTTTTCTATATTTATTTATTTATTTAAACTTTTATGCCAAAATAAATTTGTACATAAGGCGAACTTAATGCACTAAAGCATTCTCGACCAGTTTACCTTTGGGTTATATCACCTCTCCATTCACGGAAATCCTGGTTATTCAAACACATCTCTCTTCTCCATTTTGGTAGAAACTGGGCTAAGATGCGCGCCATGATAAAATTTTATCGACTTAGACGACAAATGTATAGGCTTATCGTGCAGTCGATAAAAGTTTATCGTGGCGCGCATCCTAGGCCTAATATATCAACATAGACGGTATATGACATGAGCGTGAGTATAATGAGTGCCTACCGTTTGCTGAACCTCGAGGAGAGCTTGGAGAAGAAAGATGGCCGCGCCTGGTGTGGCGAGCCGCCGTCGCCGTACGCGCCGCCCGCCGACGCGCCCCGCGACCGGGTTTGACCTGGAAACGATGGGTATTATATAACAACACTATGATTTAATACAGTCACTAGCTGTGCCCCCGACATCGTACGCGTGAAAACCCGTTTTCGCAACATTTTTCATTATTGCTCTGCTCCTATTGATCGTAGCGTGATGTTGTACAGCCTATAGCCTTCCTCGATAAATGGGCTATCTAACACTGAAATAATTTTTCAAATCGGACCAGTAGTTCTGGAGATTAGCGCGTTCAAGTAAACAAACAAACAAAGAAACTCTTCAGCTTTATAATATTAGTATAGATAAGCCGTGTGGTGATGGCAGAGTAGAATACATTTGTCACCAACCCCTACTCTTCCCGCAGGTGTCGTAAAAGGCGACTTAGGGACTACCTACACATCAAACAGAGAACGGGCAGCAGCGCTCTCTGAAAATAAATAAATATCCTTGGACATTTTACACTACGCTTCTAGTCCAAAAACTAAGCAAAGCTTGTATTAAGCACGTTTTCACTATCTCTCTCCGGGACATGTCGCGGAGATAAGTCGTCCGACATTCACGTAGTTTGTCTCTGCAACTTTGTCCCTCGACACATGACTTGTTCACACTAGCCAATAGTGAACAGTATGTCGCCCGAGGAGCGACACAAAGCGACACGCGTCCTCACTACTCAAAGGCTGTCGGGCGACTGTCGACTGTCGAGGGACACGAAGATCGCGCATGTCGACGCACGCAGAGCATCGACAAGTGACAAGTCTCGCGACTAGGGTTGCCAGGAGTCCGGCTTTAGCCGGACATGTTTGGCTTTTTAGGGACATGTCCGGCCTGTCCGGCTTTTTATTTGGTAAAGTCCGAGCCACAGAATCATTTATGAAGCGCACGCATCCATCAGAATGTTGGTTAGCAACCGATGATGATAGTACTCACCCATGAGCTGACACTAATTGCACGTGTCCGGCTTTTAGAGTAAAATGTCCGGCCAAATCAAGCACAAAGTCCGGCTTTTGTGTTTTTGGACCTGGGAACTCTACTCGCGACCTGTAGATATCGCAAGAGACGTCGCGACACGTGAATTTCGTGTCGGGCGACAGAGTCGCGGGACAAATGTCTCCTAGTGAAAACGCGGCTTTAAGCTGCAAGTTTGGTTCCGTACCTGAGTGGAAGGTGGACCGGGAGGGCACGTTCCTGGGGAACACCATCTGGTTGTTGGGGAAGTCCCGCCGCGCCGCCGCCGTCGCCGCCGCCGTCGCGCCCGTCGTCGTGCTCGAGTTTAAGCTGCAATCACAACACGCATTGTGAATACACCTTTATTGCACAGAAGAAATTACAGGAGGCAGTGTTCCGTGTTAAGCTTCAACCACACTAATGCAGGCAGATCGCCATTGCCGGCGCGATCATAGGCCAATGACAGAATAGAATAGAATAGAAAGTAATATTTTGTATATTTTAAAGACTGTAAACCCTTGAAAAGGAGGCTGACAATAGTGACTGAGTTTCTTGCGCTGCTTCTTCTCAGCACTGGCCCATTTATTGTCCCGAAGCAGTGGTAGGGTTAATATTGGGACGTGTAAAAGTGCTTTCTAAAAGCCTATTTGCAAAAATAAATGAATTTTATGAATTTTTAATTTAGTATTTATTTGTCTCAAAACAGGTTTCATTTACAATTTATCACAGATACAAAAAAACGCGCGGTAAAACAGGTCGCGGACTGGCTTGGTTGCGCGACCTGTCACTATGATCCTATGCCTATGATATGATCGCGCCGGCGATGGCGATCTCCACGCGTTGGTGTGGTTAAAGCTTTAGAATTTCATGTGAAAATACGTGTTCATTGATCCATCGACAAAACAATACACAGTAGATGGAATAAGGTAAACAGTAAACATTGTGTCATCTAAAGGGCGACCGATCTCATAGGATTGCATCAGGCGATTTTATTAACAAACTGTTTTTTTTTTCTTGTATGCTGTATGTCACATTACGGCCGAATCGGAGGATTATTACACTTTGTTCACTGGGTTACACTTTGTTCACTGGGTGAATAAAGTGGAGTTTTCAGTGTCCTCATATCACTTCGGAACCATAATAATATCACCCAAGTGAAATGATTCGACTGAAGTGGTCGTCACCTTTGTTCACCTAGGAATTAATTCACCCGGGTGAAAAGCGACTTTTTTAATTATGTTGTGGAATTTAATCACCTTGACTTTATTTATTTATAATTTACTTTAAAATTGACATAGAAACATTGATATTTTAAACTATGTATCTATGAACTATTTACTTTTTAACACATAAAACAAATCTATCTACAACAATATATCGCTAACTAAGCTATCTAAAAATATACTACATATTTATCTAGTCTAATAAAATAAATTTTCTACCGTGTGGTAACTACCCACCTACCTAATTTTACAAACTAAATCTACATACTGAGTGTAGTTGAATTCAAATTGTCGTACAGTCAGCGTCAAATAGTTCGTGACACCCAAGGTAGCCAAAAATTTCGCAACACGTCTGTATTATTATTATATTATTATTATTGGTTTTGGGCCTTCATTTGCGCCAGCTCGACCAGGTTTGATCTATTGTGGCAGCCCTTGTCTTTAGAGTTCACTGCTTAGTCCCGTTGAGTCTATAAATTTCCAGATTCTTTGGAGCGTGATATCTGCTATCTCATCCGGGTGCATGATGTGTCGCCCGAGATGGATACTTCTTTTGCTCTTAAGCGGGCCGCATGAGCAAAGAACATGCATGGCCGTTTCTTCTTCTGTATGGCAGAATCTGCACAGAGTTTCCTCGGTCATGTTCATGTTTGATTTGTGTTTGTTTAGTTTGCAGTGGCCGGTTAGTATTCTAGTCACTGCACAGGCTTTGTATCTTTTGAACTTTAGCAGTTCCTTAGTCCACGTCTGTATTACAATTGGAATAAGGTTGTGTTGACAACTTTTTGGCCACTTTGGGTGTCACGGACTATTTGACGCTGAATGTACCACTAAATACACATAAAAAAGCCAAAAAATAAAACCGGGCGAAACAAACGGACGTGTACAGAAAAATAAAAACTCAATTTTAAAATACAGCTCTTTATTTTTTTACAATAGCTTGCTAAAAGCATCGTGTGTCCTGAGACGTAGCGTAGCGCAGCGTGATACACCCTTCAATTAATTTATAAAAAAAAACCTAGAAAAACCAACAAAACATTAGATACACTAGCCAAGCGAAAATGAAAAGAAATGATAAGTGCGTTGTAATAAATAAAGGCGCTTCAAATGGAGCATTTGCTTGTACAGACAGGAGGCGGGACTATTCCCACCTCTCGTTCCCACCGCTACAACTCCTGTGTAGCCAGGATCTACAGCTTGACCGCCAATAAAAACCTAACCAGTGAAGGTGAAGTTTGTCCCGGGGGAAAGTTAAACTGTCATTGGACCCGCAACGAAATTAATCAGAAGAATATAGGAGTTCGAAGTCAAGGTTCGCTATAATGCTCAGTTCGCCTCTTTCACTGATGTAATTAATGCTCGAGCATTACAAAGCCGAGTCGACTCTGTAATGTTACATGCGAATGCTCCAAATGAGGACACCTTGTGAATGATAATCTACATAAATCATTTTCCTTGCTGCAATTGCTGGTGTGGCAACGATTTCTTCAGCTGGTGGAATAAATGGCTATTATAAACGAAGCGTGGAATGCAAAATCCAAATCCAAACTTACCTTCTTTTACTCTAGAATAAAACCTTAAAGCTAGCGAACGTGCAAATGGCGTTGCTTGACGTTGGATATAGGAGGATCGAGTGGGATTTATACAAGAAATGACTTGAATGGAGATGTTGACAAAGGTTGGTATATTGTCTGTCAAGTTAGATAAGTAGTCAGTGACTGCGTGATAATGTGGTTAGGACCGCGCATGAAGCCGTGTTCAGCGAGGTTAGGCTATTTAATGCAGAATTGGGCATAGTTATGCGTAGTTATGACGTGGTGAAGCGATATTGAGCAAGATTAGATTAAAATTGGGCGTGGTTAAGCAACGTGGGGCGTGGTTAGGTGAAGTGGGGCGTGGTTAGGCGAATTTGGGCGTGATTAGGCGAAATAAGGCGTATAATTATGATTTGCGTTATAGAATTTGGCTGTGGTTATGCGACCTGCGACCAGAAGTTGGTGGTTTGTAGCGTGACTAAGCAAAGTTAGCCGACATTATGTAACAATGGCCGTGGCTAGACGATTAGGATGTGGCTAGACGCTGTTGCGCGTGGCAAGGTAAGGATTGAGTTGGTAAGGCGAATCTAGCTTTGTATCGGCGTGGTCAGACGCTGTAAGGTGTGGTCAACTGGGGCAAAAGGCGTGCGGCGTTGCTTGATATAGCGAAGTTAGGCTATTTGATGCGAAAATGGACGTGGTTAGATAGTCTAAACTGGACGTGGTAAGGCGGACGTGGCATTGACGTGGTCTGGCGAGGTCCCGTGCCGAAGCAAGCGGCGTGGCATGGTCAGCGAGCGCAGCGTGACGTGATATAGCGAATTCAGGCTACTTTATACGAAATGGGCGTGGTTAAGTATATTTGGGCGTGGTTAGGTATATTTGGGCGTGGTTAGGCGAAGTTGAGAATGGATTGGGAAGGATTGACGTGCTCAGGCGAGTCTAGACTTGTTGCTTCAGGCGTTTCACCTGGGGCGCGGCGCGGCGAGGTCCCTCGCCGACGCATGCGGTGTAGCATGGTCTAGTGCCGACTCGTGCTTCGTGGCGTGGTCATATAGCAAAGTTAGGCAACTTTATGCGAAATGGGCGTGGTTAGGTATATTTGGGCGTGGTTAGGTATATTTGGGCGTGGTTAGGCGAAATTGGGAAGGATTGACGTGCTCAGGCGAGTCTAGGCTTGCTTCGTCAGGCGTTTCACCTGGGTCGCGGCGCGGCGAGGTCCCTCGCCGACGCATGCGGTGTAGCATGGTCAGCGGGCGCGGCCAGCGGCACGGCACTCGCGCTGGATACCGAGGCGCTCTTGACGTGTGTATTGGGCGCGGCGTGACGTGATATAGCGAAGTTAAGCTACTTTATGTGACATGGGCGTGGTTAGGCGAATTTGGGCTACTTTATCCGAAATGGGCGTGGTTAGGCGAAGTTGTAGGCTATTTTATGCGAAATGGGCGTGGTTAGGCGAAAGTTGGGCTACTTTATGTGAAATGAGCGTGATTAGGCGAAAGTTGGGCTACTTTATGTGAAATGGGCGTGGTTAGGCGAAGTTGTAGGCTATTTTATGCGAAATGGGCGTAGTTAAGAAGGGATGGGGAAGGATTGTCGTGCTCAGGCAAATCTAGGCTTGTTTCGTCAGGCGTTTCACCTGGGTCGTGGCGCGGCGAGGTCCCGTGCCGACGCATGCGGTGTTGCATGGTCAGCGGGCGCGGCCAGCGGAGCAGCACTCGCGCTGGATACCGAGGCGCTCTTGACGTGTGTCTTGGGCGCGGCGCCGTTGGTGGCTCCGTTCTTCGGCTCCGCGGCGGTTGTAGCGCTGCGTTACCGTGCGGTTAGTATACCCCATGCTATGCTATGTTAGGTGTACTGTCGCGTTTAGGTTTTTTAATAGTATGATTTGTATTTTAGCGGAGCTTTCCATCATAGGAAACCCCAAATACTTGTAATGAAAAATGTGTAAAAGTTACCGAAATAAACTTTATTTATTTATTTAGCATTTTTGCTGTTATCTAGTAGGTATGTGAGAAGTTTTAAATAAGAATTTCAGTTGAGCCCAGTGTGCATTATTACAGACCACACTGGTAATTAATCAAAACAATATCGTGAGTGAAAAAAAATTAAGATTTTCATCATTGAATCATATCTGATGACATCAATTTAGTTAATGAAATTTTAGCTTTTTTTAATCTCACATAGTCATGCTTCAAAAGTAAGAACGCGACAGTACAAAGTTACAATATTATTACATAAAAATACAATAAATACATACCAATACATAAATTATATCAAATACTTTTCAAACCCTATAACATACCCAATATGTAACAAATAATTCGATACAATTTAGCAACTTACCTTCAATCCAAAGAAGTAACAACTTCTTCATAAATAACATAAACAGTTAAATAATTTTCAATAAGAGAAAATGTAGAAGTCACATCGTTGATGTTGCTTTATACTCCAAAATATTCCTACTTAAATGTTAAATCGTAAAAAACAGTGTTATAGGTATAACATATATCATATCCGGGGTACCGACTGGATAATTAACTCGCTAGGGGTTAAAATAATAAATCGTTTCTCAATATCGACCTATGTATAGTCCGGTCGCCGAGCACGTAGAATTTTGTCCAATGACCCCAAGCTACCCATCCTTATCGCTTACGCGTAATTATGTTGCTGTCGCGCTCGCACAATCACTGCGACCGCCCGTTGCACAGTCGCGACACACAGTGTTATATTGCTGTCGCAACATAATTACGCGCGAGCGATAAGGATGGGTAGCTTGGGGTCATTGGACAAAATTCTATGTACTCGACGACAGAGTTTTATTAATTTGTTTTGCAAAAAAATACTTCCGTTAATAGTAACAAAACATCGATATCCGATACCAACATACGTAGGTTAGGTTTTATAAACAGTGTGTGTGTGTGTATAGTACTGACCTGGGCGCGTTGTGGGCGGGCTCCTTGGGCGGATAGGCGGTGCGGTGGGCGGCGCCCGTGACGCTGCGCGTGCGCCCTTCAAGTTTGGGCGCCGCGCTCGTTGGCCGCCCTCCGCTGGCCACCTGTAGGACAAACACAAGTTTAATATGATACCGAGGAAGCTCTTGGCCTACATTTTGCCTTTTGAAAGGTGAAGGCGCTTCACCCGATACGTCTTATCATGTCTACGTCATATTCGTTTGTTCGTTCGTTTCAGCCATGAGAAAGAAAGAAAGAAAGAAAGAAACACATGTTTATTTGGTCCAAAACAATTATTACAATTTTTACAGTTCAGTCTTAGTATTTGTACATGTTTGAACCAAAATGGCATCCGCTCAGCATTGTCCTGCTCTGAGATAGAACCCATAACAGGACGCTGTTATTCTGCGGAGGCCATTTTTTTTTAAATGAGCGTCACATTGGAGGCCGTAAATACTGGCATTTTTATTTTAAATAATATAAACTTCATAATTCACAAAACTTTAACAATTACCCGTCCATTGCTAGACAAAGACCTCCCCCAAGGATTTCGAAAATCTCCGGTCTTGCGCCGGCCGCCCGCATTCAGGCACCTCCCACCCACGACCTTCATATCATTTACATGCCAATATCTTGGTAAAACATGTTTTATTACCTGTTAAAACTATAAGACCAAATCATGTTGCTCTGTAATATGTTTTCACACATGTTTATGTAAATAAATATCTTTATCTTTATCTTATCTTTATCTTATCTTTATCTTTATCTTCACCAGATCGCCGGTCCTAGTTGGGGGCCTACCAACACTACGTCGTCCGGCCCGTGGTCGCCACTCGAGAACTTTTCTCATCAGCTCTACGGGCTATGTGCCAAGCCTACTACCGTATATTACTGACTTTAAAATATCTTACCTGCATTTGGGCGATCCGTGCCGTGTTCTCTTTGATAGAGGCTGAGTCGATTGTGTTCTGGAAATAAAAGAAATGTTTGGATTTAAAATCTGGAATTAAAATTCTGCACATATTAAGAATTAATAATAGATTTTTAAACATGTAATGTTCAATAACTATTAATAATGTATTCATCTCTTTTATCGACACGAGATTTATATCTATTGAACGGTTTTATCAAAGTTTTATTCTGATCGTCAATAGGACAAGAGTGAATTAAACAGGGATTAAGTCAAATTCTTTATAGCATGTGTCGGCTTTCTTCAGAACAACACACAACCTAAAAATAACCCTGAACTGATCGCTACTTTGAAACAACATCAAATCACATTGGCTGGTGCTGAGAGAAAACGTACGTACCATCGGTAACAGTGTTAACTATCCATTGCCTGTCATGCCATCTCGTTCTATCGCAAAGAATCGCCATTTGATGAGAGCGAGAGCAAAAACAGAAATGGATAGTTAACAGTGTGGCCGTGTGTACGACAGTATATCTAGGATCAATGTACGATGGTAATATCGCGAGTTTGCATCAAAATGTGATCTGCTGTCGACTGTACACTTTCCTTAAAAACTTACCTGTCTTTTAAAATTGGACGTGGTCGTGGTAGACGTGGACGTGGTGTTATTGGCCGCACTGGTCGTCGTGCCCACTGCAAACCATAGACAAAACACTATAGCGCCACCACAATAGGGCCCGTATTCACAAACGATGCAGCAAATCGAACGCACAGCGTTGAATAGAGCTCTGTGATTGGTTCGTGTGTCACCCTGGGTGAGATCTCATAGTAATGTTTGTGAATACGTGCGTAATCACCTACAAACATAGGTATCAAATATTTGATAAAAAAACGCCTAAGTAAAGTTTTAGAAGCAGAATAGAAACGCTTTGAAGATGTACTCAGAAATCATGAATCAAGTTGTAGCGGAAACATTTTGGTATCTTAAAAAACCTAGGTGAAATTCGATATCTTTGAACCAATATGGAACTATTTCGAATTGCCATTTTTAGATATCACACATTTTTTTTATAATGAAATTAATAAAATCCCAAGTTATTAAAAACATATTACTACGGCAAATTATGATGATTTTATTATCTTTAAGCAAAGCTTATGTATCCAAATGGAAGCGTTGATATGATCTGCCCCAACCAAAGTTTATAATGATAGACGTATACAATACAAATACGTTAAAGAATACCACTTTTAATTTGTTAATTATTTTTAATCTGGATTTTATTTTAACTTTATTCTTACCGACAGTCGTGGAGTGGGAATTATGTCGTCCGACTATCGTCCACAAGAAATTGTGATTTTAAATTCTTAAATATTGATACTCACCCCTGGGTTAGAACCCACCTTCCCTAAGTCAAAACCCGTCCCTTGGGTCAGAACCCCCCTTCCTTAGGTCAGAACCCCCCTTTCTTAGGTCAGAACCCCCTTTCCCGAGTCCAAACCCTCTTCCCCGGGTCATAACCCCTTACCCCCGTGTCAGAACCCCCTACCCCCGGATCATAACCCCCTACCCCCGGGTCAGAACCCCCTGCCCCCGGGTTAGAACCCCTTCCCTAAGTCAGAACCCATTTTCCCTCAATCAGAACCCCCCTTCCTTAGGTCAGAACCCCCCTTCCTTAGGTCAGAACCCCCCTTTTCCCCAGGTCAGAATCTGGCTACGCTTAGTACCTTGCTTGCTGAGCACCTCTGCGCCGGAGGAGGCCCGCCGCGACTGCTGCGGCCGGGCCGTGGCCGACACGGACCGCTGCACGCCGCGGTGCGAAGGCGACCCACCCTACGCCTAAGAGGGGGAGTTCAAGGAGGGTTTCTTGAGTCAGAAATCCTTTTGGGTCAGAAACCCTCCTTCTCTAGGCCAAAATGCGTCCCTTGGCTCAGAATCTGGCCAGAATACTCCCCCTCCTTGAGTCAGAAATCCCCCTGGGTCCAAAAACCCCCTAAACTAGGCCAAAATTCCCCCCTATCTCTAAATTTGGCTACGTCCTTTATCCTAGTCTTGGTACCTTGCTTGCTGAGCACCTCTGCGCCGGAGGAGGCCCGCCGCGACTGCTGCGGCCGGGCCGTGGCCGACACGGACCGCTGCACGCCGCGGTGCGAAGGCGGCCCACCCTACGCCTAGGAGGGGGAGTTCAAGGAGGGTTTCTCGAGTCAGAAATCCTTTTGGGTCAGAAACCCTCCTTCTCTAGGCCCAAATGCGTCCCTTGGCTCAGAATCTGACCAGAATACTCCCCCTCCTTGAGTCAGAAATCCCCCTGGGTCCAAAAACCCCCTAAACTAGGCCAAAATTCCCCCCTATCTCTAAATTTGGCTACGTCCTTTATCCTAGTCTTGGTACCTTGCTTGCTGAGCACCTCTGCGCCGGAGGAGGCCCGCCGCGACTGCTGCGGCCGGGCCGTGGCCGACACGGACCGCTGCACGCCGCGGTGCGAAGGCGGCCTACCCTACGCCTAGGAGGGGGAGTTCAAGGAGGGTTTCTTGAGTCAGAAATCCTTTTGGGTCAGAAAGCCCCCTTCCCTAGGCCAAAATGCGTCCCTTGGCTCAGAATCTGACCAGAGTACTCCCCCTCCTTGAGTCAGAAATCCCCCTGGGTCCAAAAACCCCCTAATCTAGGCCAAAACTCCCCCTAGCTCTAAATTTGGCTACGTCCATTATCCTAGTCTTGGTACCTTGCTTGCTGAGCACCTCTGCGCCGGAGGAGGCCCGCCGCGACTGCTGCGGCCGGGCCGTGGCCGACACGGACCGCTGCACGCCGCGGTGCGAAGGCGACCCGCCGCCGCCGCTCGCACCGTCCCGCCCTACGACCACACGGGTCAGCCACGATCGCGGATCACAACGAACCGACGCGTGTATACGAGCACGATAACGGCTAAACTTTTATGGAACTATAGTCTGGTCCGCGAGCACGTAGAATTTTGTCCAATGACCCCAAGCTACCCATCCTTATAGCTAGCGCGTAATTATGTTGCTGTCGCGTTCGCACACTCACTGCGGGCGCCCGTCATACAGTCGCGACAGCAATATAATTACGCGCGAGCGATAAGGATGCGGAGCTTGGGGTCATTGGACAAAATTCTACGTGCTCAAAGACCGGGCTTTACACGAGGCGACCGATATGTTACGAGTTTGGGATTTCGAGTAGATAAAGGTCCCGATAGATTTTTTATGGAACAACCGAGGCGATCAAAACGGAACGATTTTGGACTATACAGGGTGGAATTTTATAATGCTATCTGAAGGGAAAGTACTCTTAATACTGTAGATATAAAATGTTACTCAAATAAAACATTGCTTTATTTTTTAAAAGAAAGGGAACGAAACAAAGATTTCCGAAAATACCATCCTGTATACTAAGGTCTACTATCCCGTTATAAGTGGGGAGGCGACCGATATGGAACGAATTTGCAATATGATTTCGAGTATACTGAGGTCTCGATAGTATTTATGAAACTACTCCATGGGTTTACAGAGCGGTAATAATAGCTACACCTTTATTGAATCACCGACCGACCGGAATGAAATCAGTTTTCAAAGCCGACCGAAGAAATCGGGTACATTTTTCAAATGACCAGTGTAGTTACCTATTTCATAAGCTGTCCCGAAATATCGTGTAAATAGACTCATGTTGCTCACATGAGATTACTAAGTAGCATCGCAGTTTGCATCGCTTATTCAGATTCGCTTTCGCTTCGTTGCTTCGTTGTCTTCGACTTTTCTTAAGCCTTAGTTCGCCCGACGGTCAAATAACAATAAAGAATTCGATTTTGCGAACAGCACGGCAATATCGCCCCTTCTGCTAATGTAAATAAACCTCAAGGTAGCTAACAGATAATAGCAATCGAAAACCCCGCCTGTTAATTGCAACGCTTTTCCAAAATACCTATTTTCATCCACGTTGATCTCTAGTGGTTAAAAAATATTTATCCATTATGATGGTATTATTCAAATTACTTTGTTAATAAATCCTCCATGTAATAAAGCATATTTATGATGATTTCAAATGTTTAAGCTGGACAGTACTTTTCCCAATAGCGTAATATTATTGCGCATCTAGTCTACGTATATGAACACCACACAGTCGCCCCACGAATTAAAACTCCCTTTGCGTTGATAACGTCTTACTTGAGTATTTTTATTTAAAGTTCCACCCATAAATTTTACTGAAAAACAACTGATATTAGTTTCTTTCCTTTCATTGAAAATGGAAAATACTAACCCTGGGTTGCACCATCTCACATTAACTATAACAAACGTCAAAAGTCTGTCAAACTCCATACAAAAACATCGGTTATAGTTACGGTTAAAGTTAATGTGATGCAAAGAGCCAAAAACAAGTTAATTTAATTATTTGTTATTTTCCTAAGATTGTTAAGATAATTTTGAAAAAATAAATATAGAGCACATATTTTGACAGAAGTCATTTTGATAGAGCAAGCTTTTTATTCCGAAAAGAAATAGTATATTATGGCCCTTTGATTCAACCCTTCAGATGTTAGTGGTTGTATTATTGCTGCCATATTTTTTGAATTAGGTATTAAATTAAAAAAATAACTGATCTAATGTTAACTCAATTCAAAGTGTCAAAGTGTAGTTTGTTTACCGCTCAAAGGGTTAAAAAATCGTCAAAAAGTTCAAAACCAAGGTGAACTTTAAATTCAAATACCCAAGTAAACCATCAGTATAACGAGCACAAGCGGGGCACGAAGCAAGCGTCCCGACGGCCGTAGCTCACGACACGATTCGTTGTGATCGACGCGACGCGACGTCCAAGCACACAGGTAGATGTGAGGTTAATGGACGATGGAGGAGACTGGATCAATATTGTTTATTTTAGGTGTAATACAAAGAAAAGATGGCGCTACTAGTATTTATATAATGAGGCAAAAATTGCACTACATCAATAATTTTTTTTTGTTGTACGAACATCAAAAACCATTAATATCTCAAAGTCAGACTTGGTTGACTAAATATTAGTATTACAGCATAGTTTGAGCTCAAGACATTGATACAAAATAATGTTGCGATTTATAGTTGGACAACACTGAAGTGATCCAGATGACATTGACAGGAGGGCACTATTAACAACACTGGGTTGTTAGTTCTGATTTTTGCCACTTGACGTTTCAGAATCGTTGTACTATGCCGATAACTTCGCTGGAGTATTAAACACATAAATAGAGAAATGTAGACAATCCTACACCTTATAGATAAGCAAGAAAATATCTTGCATTTAAATCAAATCAAATCAAATCAAATCACTTTATTTTAATTTAATAAAATAATTAATTTCATTAAAAATCAATCCAGTCCCCCACATATTTCATACAACCTCAATGATACTTAATCTATATTAATCGCTACCTCAGGACATACGGTGATGAGATGGCGCACAGTTAGAAGCCAAGCGTTGTCCGATGATGATGATTAAGTCACTCCATCATAAAATGATGATCTTATAGCTAGATCCCTTTTGAAGATGTATTTCTACCACTACTCTAAACCAAGTGAAACTACATACTTGATGATTATTTTTGGGAATTCCTACTACTTCAAGCAATTTGAAAATTATGTGACTAAAACGTTTTTAATATTATTAATATTAAATCGATTGCTAATGCAGTGAAATCTAAATGAAATCATTTTCGCCTAGATTTTTTTAGATTTGTAATCAATTGGCAGAAAAACAATGATGTGGCAATATATCAATTTTATTTTATTTTAATAAACTTAAGGCACACAATTTCATTGTTTTTATACCAAGTTGAGATTGTTAATAATGCATCTGATGATAGTAAGTAACTGCAAAAAAAAAACATAATATAGGTCTGGTTTAATACCAGACCAATAATTGGCTACATGACACCATTGAAAAATATAGATATAAGTTTAATAATAACATACAATAAAATCAGACATTTTGTTGTTAGGAGGTGGTGTCATGTATCCTAAAAATATGCTATGTGATTCCTTGAGAACAGGATAAAAACTAGCTAATGATAAGTAAGCATGATTTATGTATGCAGTAATAGTAAAGTGTATTTTTGCAAATAAATAATGCGTTTGTGTCGTTGTGTCGCAACTTTACAAAGCATTATTTGTTTGCGCAGGTTTTGTATTGTGTTCTTGTGTAGTGTTGAGAAAATTACAAAATATAAAGAATCGATTTTGAGTGAAAATTAATTATTGTGGTTGATTATTAGGAAATCAAACTTGTTATTTATTTAGACCACACAGTAATTTAATCAAATTTGGGAATTACACCCAAGACCATTGATACTCTTTAATCATTACAAAAAAAACAAAATGGTAGTCATTTGCATGTATCTGTTGAGAGATGTAAGAACTCAGCTAAAGCAATATGGAACACTGTAAACATCAATAGAAACCACATTGGTAATGTTGATAAACTTAAAATTATTCTAAAGAAAAACAATAAAATAATTCATGATCCTCAAATAATTACAGATATTTTTGCAAATCAATTTAATCATAGTAATTCACTGACTACTGGTAGTTTAAATTTATCGAAGGAATATCTTGAACGTATCTGTCTACCATGTCCTAATGAAATGTCTTGGGACAATATTACACCCTATGAAATCACTAAAATTGTAAATAAGATGGAAGACAAAAAATCGTGTGGTTGGGATAATATTCCAATTTCAGTTTTTAAAAGAAACATTGATTTATGGGCATATCCTTTGGCTAGATTTTTTAACCAATGCTATGAACAGGAAATTTTTCCAGAACAACTAAAAATTGCAAAGGTCATTCCAGTTTACAAGAAAGGCTCAAGAACAGACCCGGGAAATTACAGACCAATTTCTCTACTGCCAATTCTTTCAAAAATATTTGAAACTATAATAAAAACCAGGCTAGTAAGACATCTTTGTATTAATAACATACTAAGTAAACGTCAATATGGATACCAGAATAATATTGGGGCTATAGACGCAGTGGATACATTAGNTTAATAACATACTAAGTAAACGTCAATATGGATACCAGAATAATATTGGGGCTATAGACGCGGTGGACACATTGGTTGATGATATCCTATCTAAATTAAATGAAAAAAAACGGGTAGCTGGTTTATTTCTGGACTTGAGCTCTGCTTTCGACACGGTGGACCACCAAATTTTAATGCTAAAACTAGAACATTATGGCATAAGAAAAAAAGTATTTCTACTTTTAGAGTCTTATTTGAGAAATAGATATCAATATATTGAGATAAAGGGTGCGGTGGATGGATGCGAGAAGATATTTAAGTCGTCATTTTTTCAAATAAAAAGAGGCGTTCCTCAGGGATCAATTCTGGGACCGATTTTATTTATAATTTTTATGAATGATTTGATACCGTTTATGTACGATTTAATACCAGATATTGAACTTGTAGTATTTGCTGACGACACTAATGCAGTTGTAAATGCGAAAAACATGAGCGAACTTAATACTAAAGTAAACAATGCGTTGGCTCTGTTTGACAAGTGGTTTGAAGTAAACAATCTGAAACTTAACGTGGGGAAGACCAAAGCTGTTCTCTTTAAATCCACATCAAGGACAAGAGATACATTAGAAGTCAAGATGAAAGACGACTGCATCTCTGGAGTAGACACTGTTAAGTTTCTTGGTATTCACATAGACTCTTCTCTCAACTGGAAGGTAGAGGTTAATTGCTTGGAAAGCAAAATCTCGTCTTCATGCTATGCTCTGCGCAGTTTAAGAGAGGAGTTAACATTAAGCCAATTAAAAATAGTATATTACGCGCTAATCGAATCACGCTTGAGATATAGTATTAAGTTTTGGGGAAATAGCTATAGATATAATATAAAAAAAGCTTTCATTATTCAAAAAAGGGCAATTAGAACAATGATGCGCATAAGTCAGCAGCAGTCGTGTCGAGAATATTTCAAAAATCTTAACATTTTAACAGTGCCATGTCTTTATATACTAGTCCTTCTTACTGACCTTGTCAAGCATCCAGACAGATATGAATCCGTGGAGGAGAGAGTCACACGTCATGACACTAGGCGAGGAAATATTTTAAATCACTTACACCCAAAATTAGAGATAGTCAAGCACAGTGTAAGCTACCAAGCGGTGAGACTCTTCAACAAATTGCCAAATAATTTAAAGAAAATAAATAATATTAATATATTTAAAAGAGGATTGAGGGCTTACCTGCTGGAAAATAGTTTTTATAGTGTGGAGGATTTTTGTAAAATGGTCTAACTTTAATTTGACTTATTTTATTAATTTATTGTTGTGACATTATTGAAATGAATGTGAATTTAATATGAACTAGATTGAATTAAAAAAAAATGTGACATTGTATAAGATAATATTTTTAATTTGTTTTTTTTTTTTTCTTTTTTAATTTGCAATAATTATTGACATGGTTATTTTTGACATAGTATAGATTCTGATTAATTTGTAATTTTGCATGCTTATTTATTTATGCTTATATTATTATTGCACCTATTTCCAACACAATGTTTTTCCGACACAACTTTAATTTGACTTATTTTATTAATTTATTGTTGTGACATTATTGAAATGAATTTGAAATCATGTGAACTAGATTGAATTAAAAAGAGTGACATGTGATAATAATTTTAATTGTTTTTTTTTTTAATTTGCAAGTATAATTGTTATTGACATGGTTATTTTTGACATTAGTATAGATTCTGATTAATTGTAATTTTGCATGCTTATATATTATGCTTATTATTGTACCTATTTCCAACACAATGTATATTGTTTTTAAATGGAATAAACTTATGACTTATGACTTATTGTGGAGGCTTGTAAACTAATAATAAAGTTTATGAAGGCTTTGCTTAGCTTTTTAAATGATGGGCCAAACCAACGCGTGCAGCCTGCGTGCGCGATGGCGATCAGAGGCCTCAGTGTGAGTTTTCATCAAACGCGCTCACTAGTGAGCGCGTCAAAAAATGACATTAAATGTATGACGGACTGTACAGAGCCCCTAGCGGGAAACGTTCAGAAACTAAAATGTTCATACATTTTTAACGCGCTCACAAGTGACGACGTTTGAAGTAAACTGACACTCAGCCCAGACGTCGTACTTATATGAATTTGTAGCGATGAGTTCACATCGAAACGTCTTGTCATTGGTCGCGGCGAACTATGCACGCCATCGCTGACACGAGCTGCACGCGTTGGTTTGGCCGAAGCTACAATAAGTACGTAGTTAAGGTACTCGCGTGTAATGTGTTCGTGTGTAATGTATTCGTGTGTAATGTATTCATGTGTATTGTGTTCGTGTGTAATGTATTCGTGTGTAATGTATTCATGTGTAATGTGTTCGCGTGTAATGTATTCATGTGTATTGTGTTCGTGTGTAATGTATCCGTGTGTATTGTGTTCGTGTGTAATGTGTTCGTGTGTATTGTGTTCGTGTGTAATGTGTTCATGTGTATTGTGTTCGGGTGTAATGTATCCGTGTGTATTGTGTTCGTGTGTAATGTATCCGTGTGTATTGTGTTCGTGTGTAATGTATCCGTGTGTATTTTGTTCGTGTGTAATGTGTTCGTGTGTAATGTATCCGTGTGTATTGTGTTGGGTGTGTAAAGTATTAATGTGTATTGTGTTCGTGTGTAATGTATCCGTGTGTATTGTGTTGGGTGTGTAAAGTATTAATGTGTATTGTGTTCGTGTGTAATGTGTTCGTGTGTGTCTGTGTTCGTTCTCACCTGCGCTGGGCGGCGGCGCGTGCGGCGGCGCGGCTGCGGTGCGCAGCGACAGCGACGAGCCCGACCGGCTTCCGTCCGACTCCGGCTGGGACAATGCATACATTAGATAAGCCTGTCGGTGTACAGACGACCTTATGGGTTAGTAATAAGTGCTATTTTGGAACAAACCCGACTCCGGCTGGGGCGAATGCATACATTAAATAAGCCTGTCGAGGATGTGGCGCCTTATGGGTTGGTTATAAGTGCTATTTTCGAACAAACCCGACACCGGCTGGGACAATGCATACATTAGATAAGCCTGTCGATGATGTGCCGCCTTATGGGTTGGTTATAAGTGCTATTTTGGAACAAACCCGACTCCGGCTGGGACAATGCATACATTAGATAAGCCTGTCTAGGATGTGCCACCTTATTTGTTGGTTATAAGTGCTATTTTGGAACAAACCCGACTCCGGCTGGGACAATGCATACATATAAGCCTGTCGAGGATGTGGCGCCTAATGGGTTGGTTATAAGTGCTATTTTGGAACAAACCCGACTCCGGCTGGGACAATGCATACATTAGATAAGCCTGTCGAGTATGTGGCGCCTTATGGGTTGGTTATAAGTGCTATTTTGGAACAGGAATATATTTTGCAACAAATATTTAAGCTAGAGACTCCGGCTGGGACAATAGATACATTAGATAAGCCTGTCAGCGGCCGGTGTGCGTACCATGAGTTTACGTTTGGTGTGCTCACTAGCGACTACTTAATATGTGACAAATTGTACGGGGCCTCTGGCGGCTACTTTATAGAAATACAATCTTCATAGATTTTTTTGACGCATTCGCTAGCGAGCACACCCTAACAGGGTGTAAGTACGTACGATAGGAGTATCGAGAGTACCCATATTTAAAGGTATCGTTCGTTCGTTTCAGCCGAAAGACGTCCACTGCTGGACAAAGGCCTCCCCCAAGGATTTCCACAAAGACCGGTCCGGTCGGTTTAAAGGTATAGTTGTCCAAAACTGAACCGTCACAGCTATGACAATAACAGAAGGGCACTACTATCAATACTAGGTTATCGGTAAACGTTTCAGAATAGTTTGACTATAATATGCTACAGTCACAGCGCTTAACTGAGTAGGTCAAGCGGTAGGAATAACATGTGAGGTAACAGAGCTGTCACGAAATACGCTGACTGAAGTCAAGCTAAAGTTTGATGTGACAGAACAGATCCTCCCGCACCGCTTAACTATCACTGAAATCTAATAATTCATGCGCTATGACTGTAGTCACTTATTTTTAGATTGTATCGACACTTAACTCGTCAGAAGTATTAAATAAAATCGATAGTATAACGACTACCCGGTCTATTTATTTTACCTTCACCTCGGCTAGCGAATGAGCAAAGGTCGAACCTTGCCGGTTGTGCCGAGGCGAACCATTGTGAGCCTTATTTACTAGAGCTTAGAGTACACATTCCCCGCTACTCACATCCGTGTTCTTCCTGCCGAGCAGTAGGTACGTGGCTAACACGTCGTCAGACTTCGCCTCGGCTATAGTCCGGTCGCCGAGCACGTAGAATTTTGGCCAATGACCCCAAGCTACCCATCCTTATCGCTCGCGCGTAATTATATTGCTGTCGCTATTCTGCGACAGGCGCCCGCAGTGAGTGTGCAAGCGCGACAGCAACATAATTACGCGCGAGCGATAAGGATGGGTAGCTTGGGGTCATTGGCCAAAATTCTACGTGCTCGGCGACCGGGCTTTAGCGAGTACTCGATCTCTTGCCGGTTGCAGCGAGGCGAGCCATTTTATGACGGTCAAGCTGTAGATCCTGGCTACACAGGAGTTGCAGCGGTGGGAACGAGAGGTGGGAATATTTAATACTCACATCCGTGCTCTTTCTGCCGAGAAGTAGGTACGTGGCGAACACGTCGTCGTACTTGGCCTCGGCTAGCGAGTACTCGATCTCTTGCCGGTTGTAGCCGAGGCACACCAGCGCCTCTGTTGGTGGGAAAACGAACTATTATTAATTATAAGTCTTTGGAGAACGTTCTTAATGATGAATACTGAAACTGATTTTATTTTTTCGCGATATCACTGGAGGATTTTGATAAAAAACGATATAATATTTCGTCGCAGCATTTCATAGTCAATGAATTCGCGTATGAAAGATCCGCTAGATGGCGGGACGTGGATGTGGGGTCTGACTGCTGCGTGATTGGTGGATTTTGACATATCTGTCAATGTCATGTCAAAAATAACCAATCATGCAGCAATTGGACCTCGCGTCTACGTATTGCCATCTGGCGGATTTTTCATACGCGAAAACCCTCATTAACGTGACCTTTGGCAAAGGTTATATAAAACAAACATAACAGTTTCAGTATTCAGTCGCTAGTTACATTAGACGTTCAGGAGAAACAAAGAAAACTAAAATACATTGAGTTACATCATTTAAATTACTATAAAAGTGTAAATTGGAAAAAATGAGACTTAATTTTTTAACCAATAAAATGTCATAATCAGTTTTAACACTAAAATATTGAACGATGTAAATCAATTCATTAGGACTATATTGAACACCAATTTGTATAAAACCTATACATTGACGGGACTACATAATCATCATGCTAAAATAATTAATTGAGAAAACAGCATAGATATAAACGACATAAAATTATATTTTGTATAAGCATACCATTTCATGCGTGCAAATAATATAACTTGTAAACAAAAAGAATTTAAAATAAAGCTACGATTTATAAAAATGAAACCTAACATAGCATAATTCTGTCTTATCGAAGTCCTTTTCTTTTAAAAAGCTTTTGCATTGCGACTTAATTCAAATCAAATCAAGCTAACATAAAAATAATGTTGCTCAAACTGGATATAACTCGATATTTACAAGATTTATACAATCAATTTATATCACTTATACTTCTTAAATTATTTATTATTTTTAGTTCTTTATTACAAGTAACTGTATTCCTCATTTATGACAAACAACAAGACAGAATTTTGTATATTTATACACATTTACTAACACGTATACGAAACTATACAAACATTCGCGGACTCAATAGTCACGTACCAACTTGCGCTGTGCCGAAATCAATTGATCGAAGTTTGCATGGAAGGGAAAAATATTATAAGATTTATATGTTCTATATAAATTTAGGATAACTAGCGATGTATAATTTTTATAAGTTAGTTTAGCTGTGAGATAATACTTGTCGTTAGCGTGTACATTTCAATGGGTTTAATTAGCTGGGATTAATTTTTATAGCATTGCAATTTGAATTCAATTTTTGAAGGAACTTTTGCACTCTCTATTGTAAATTTTGACAAGATTGTTTTTGCAAATATATTTTACGTGAAATTATCTTTGTGGCATTTCTAAGTAAAGGTCACAGATTGTTAATGTCACGTTTCTTACGTGTTATTTTATCAAAATTATAGTAATATGACATGAACAAACTTCAAATGACAAAGATAAATCATACCTCCTTGCAGAATGTATCTCAGCTCACTAGTCACCTTCCAGCTCAGGAACTAGTCGCGACCAGTCATAATATCCACTAGTTACTTACCTGAGACCACCTTAAGCTTCAACCACACCAACGCGTGCAGATCGCCATTGCGCGATCATAGTCCAATGACAAGTCGGGTGACCCATGACAGTCCGCGCGACCCATGACAGTCCGCGCGACACATGACAGTCCGCGCGACCCATGACAGTCCGCGCGACCCATGACAGTCCGCGCGACCCATGACAGTCCGCGCGACCTGTCATTGGCCTATGATCGCGCCGGCGATGGCGTTCCGCACGCGTAGTCCAGTCATTTGTTAGTTTTACCTGGAAAGTTTTCCGGGAGTAATGAGAATAGGGATGATGACTGGGTAATGAAATCGAAATTCTATTTAGTCCGTCAGACAGATAATAAAAAAAATTTGGACACATATTTTTGATTTTTTTCATAATCGAATAATTACAGTATTATATTGAGTTTAAATGTCGCGTGACGTCACTTTAGAGTAAAAAATCTACTCAAGCGTGAGCGTAACGCGCCATTTCAACTCGATGTAGCACTGTTATTATTTAATTATGAAAGAAAATAAAAAATATGAGTCAAAAACTTGCTATCTAGCCTATTGGTATTTATAAAGATTTCTTTTCATTACTCTCGGAAAACTTTCCAGGTAACCCCATTATTTTGTACTAAATGACTGGACTACCGTTGGTGCTATTGAAGCATTACTGCACACCATAATCTCCGCATCTCAGCCGACTAGCAGCCGTGAGGCTCGCGCGACTAGTTAAGTCCGAAATCTACTAGTTAACATGTCCACTCACTCAGCGACTCACCTATCCGCTTGTGATCTTTGAAGTCCTGCTGCGGCTCTATGTAAGGCCGCAGTTCGTCCTCCTCATAGCCCGTGTTCATCCATTTATCCCGCATGATGCTTTCAAGCGAGGCGCGTTTAGCCGGGTTCAGTACAAGAAACTTTTTCAACAAGTTCTCGCAATCGGTCGACATGTAGAATGGTATTCTGTAAAGGAATAATAAAATAATGAGTGAAAATGTGCTTTTTAAACAGTATAATATCACTTGAAATTATTATAAATAACATCTCTTTCGATAGACGATTACTTATTTTACTACTTGCCTCGTGTAACAAGTGCGTGATTCTTTTACTATTTTGTTAACCAGATAAGTTAGTTTCACCAAACTAGTCATTCGGGACATGTATAAGAACTACGCACATTTTGAGATTAGTTATTTTTGGTCTAGGTACCTAACGGTGCTCCTCTGTCTTGTTAGAGTATCTTGTCATTGACATGTTTCTTTCATTGAGTCCATTATGCAAAGTCGTATTGCCTACCATCTATGTTACTTAGCATGTGTTAGCACTTTCTATCCCGTTGGAACAGTGTCCTTCGCCCAAACACTCCCACTCACGCTTGCACTCACATCTTGCTCGATTAGTGGCCACAGCTCACGCGACTAGTGGCCACAGCTCACGCGACTAGTGGCCACAACTGACGCGACTAGTGGCCACAGCTGACGTGACTAGTGGCCACAGCTGATACGACTAGTAGCCACAGCTCACGCGACTAGTAGCCACAGCTCACGCAACTACCCATAATTCCCCCGCAGCATATCTCACGCGACCAGTCCCGTATCTCGCGCGACTATTCCCACATCTCGCGCGACTAGTCCCACTAACTAGTTACCTGTACTTTCCCCGTAGCACTCGCTCGCGAAGCTCCCGCAGCGTGGAGCCGTCGAACGGCAGCGAACCCGAGACCAGCGTGTATAGGATCACGCCCAGTGACTAGAGCACATCTCGCGCGACTAGTGACCAGTCCCGCTAGTTACTTGTACTTCTCCCACAGCATATCTCACGCGACCAGTCCCGTATCTCGCGCGACTATTCCCACATCTCGCGCGACTATTCCCACATCTCACGCGACTAGTCCCATTAACTAGTTACCTGTACTTTCCCCGTAGCACTCGCTCGCGAAGCTCCCGCAGCGTGGAGCCGTCGAACGGCAGCGAGCCCGAGACCAGCGTGTAGAGGATCACGCCCAGTGACCACAACACATCTCGCGCTACTAGTGGCCGCAGCCTGAAAGACTAGTGGCCGCATCTCGCGCGACTAGTGACCAGTCACGCTAGTTACCCATAATTCCCCCGCAGCATATCTGACGCGACCAGTTTCGCATCTCGCATGATACTAGTACCGCATCTCACACGACTAGTACGGCATCTCATACTACTAGGTACCGCATCTCAAACGACTAGTACCGCATCTCACACGACTAGTCCCGTATCTCGCACGACTAGTCCCACATCTCACGCGACTAGTCCCACTAACTAGTTACCTGTACTTTCCCCGTAGCACTCGCTCGCGAAGCTCCCGCAGCGTGGAGCCGTCGAACGGCAGCGAGCCCGAGACCAGCGTGTAAAGGATCACACCCAGTAACTAGAGCACATCTCGCGCGACTAGTGACCGACTACGACTAGTGGCCGCAGCCCGCGCGACTAGTGACCAGTCACGCTAGTTACCCATAATTCCCCCGCAGCATATCTGACGCGACCAGTCCCGCATCTCGCATGACACTAGTGACTAGTACCGCATCTCACACGACTAGTACCGCATCTCACACTACTAGTAACGCATCTCACACAACTAGTCCCGCATCTCGCAAGACTATTTCCGCATCTTGCACGACTAGTCTCGTATCTAGTACTAGTCCTAGTCCCGCTAGTTACCTGTACTTTCCCCGTAGCACTCGCTCGCGAAGCTCCCGCAGCGTGGAGCCGTCGAACGGCAGCGAGCCCGAGACCAGCGTGTAGAGGATCACGCCCAGTGACTAGAGCACATCTCGCGCGACTAGTGACCGCATCTCGCGCGACTAGTGACCAGTCCCGCTAGTTACTTGTACTTCTCCCACAGCATATCTCACGCGACCAGTCCCGTATCTCGCGCGACTATTCCCACATCTCGCACGACTAGTCCCACATCTCGCGCGACTAATGACCGCATCTCGCGCAACTAGTGACCAGTCCCGCTAGTTACTTGTACTTCTCCCACAGCATATCTCACGCGACTAGTCCCGTATCTCGCACGACCAGTCCCACATCTCGCGCGACTAGTCCCACTAACTAGTTACCTGTACTTTCCCCGCAGGACTCGCTCGCGAAGCTCCCGCAGCGTGGAGCCGTCGAACGGCAGCGAGCCCGAGACCAGCGTGTAGAGGATCACGCCCAGTGACCACACGTCCACCTCAGGGCCGTCGTATTTCTTGCCTGGAATATATTAATTATTCAATAAAAACTCTCATAATACCATGGAAGTGTAAGTGTGATTAAACTGTACCTATGTGATTAATCTGATATAGTTATAAGCTGCAATATATCCGCTCCATGATTAAAAATTTACTAACCAGTGTTTCTCTATGTAAGTGAATGTATTTTCTGTTTTTGAGAAATAAATGTCTTAAACCGTAAGTGCTTTTAAATGGAACTGGATAGGCCACACTCTCCGAAGGGACCCCGATCACATCCCCAAGCAGGCTCTAGATTGGAACCCCCAAGGAAAACGCAAACGTGCTCGCCCCAAACAAACTTGGCAGCGCATTGTAGCAGACCTGACAAAGATCGGGAAAACTTGGACCGAGATCAAAAGTGAAGCTCAAGACCGAATGTGATGGAGGACTGTTGGGGACATAGGACATTAAGTCAAGTCAGTTTACCAACACAACAATATTTTGTAAAATTACCAATATAAAAATACTTAAGCTTACTGTTCACAGAGGCGTATTCTTCAGGGCCTATGCTAAAACATGCGCGGGCGCACGCAGTAAAAAGTCAGTATTAAAAATAGTACGAGCAGAGACGCGCGAGATTAAACGGATTTTTTAGAGTAGGTGAGCCTACTCTACAATATCTCATCATCATCATCATCATCATCATCTCAGCCACAAGACGTCCACTACTGAACATAGGCCTCCCCCAATGCTTTCCATGTTGCCCAGTAGCGGCCTGCGTCCAGCGCTTTCCTGCTACCTTTATGATGACATTTACCTTTAAAATATCTCACCTACTCTAAAATATCTATCTAATACTCCGACTTCTACTCTGTTACCTACTCTGACTTCTTGAAGCGTCCCAGCAAACTAACAGAAACATTTCACTATCGTAATTATACACATGCAGTTGTAACCAAAAGCTAGTGAATTTGTAAAGTTCATCATCATTTCAGCCACAGGCATCCACTGCCTAGGCTTCCCCCAATAATTTTTCACATCGCTTAGTTCATAGCGGACTGCATCCAGCGCCTTCCTGCTACCTATATGAGGTCGTCTGTCCACCTTGCGTGACTGTACCTTGGAACAGCTCCGGCGCCGCGTACGGAGGGCTCCCGCAGAAGGTGTCAAGCTCGACGTGCACTCGTCAGAGCCCGAGCTCGGTCGTCTGTCCACCTTGCGTGACTGTACCTTGGAACAGCTCCGGCGCCGCGTAAGAAGGTGTCAAGCTTGGCGCCCGGCGTGAACTCGTCGGAGCCCGAGGTCGGTCGTCTGTCCACCTTGCAGGCCGGTCGTCTGTCCACCTTGCGCGACTGTACCTTGGAACAGCTCCGGCGCCGCGTACGGAGGGCTCCCGCAGAAGGTGTCGAGCTCGACGTGAACTCGTCGGAGCCCGAGGTCGGTCGTCTGTCCACCTTGCAGGTCGGTCGTCTGTCCACCTTGCGCGACTGTACCTTGGAACAGCTCCGGCGCCGCGTACGGAGGGCTCCCGCAGAAGGTGTCGAGCTCGACGTGAACTCGTCGGAGCCCGAGGTCGGTCGTCTGTCCACCTTGCAGGCCGGTCGTCTGTCCACCTTGCGCGACTGTACCTTGGAACAGCTCCGGCGCCGCGTACGGAGGGCTCCCGCAGAAGGTGTCGAGCTTGGCGCCCGGCGTGAACTCGTTGGAGAACCCGAAGTCGGCTATCTTGATGTTCATTTCACCGTCTAGCAGAAGGTTTTCCGCCTGGAATGAGAGAATTGCTCTGTGTAACTACTGAAACTACTGACTTGGGGCAACATAAACATTACCAAGGCCACGAAAACCAGCTGCTCTAACGACACGGGTGGGCCAGTCGTTGAGATGACAGCGCGAAAATCGTCGGTATCCACTAATTATGACCCTTATAGACCACTATACAGTGTGTCCGGGCATGTAGTGATCAAACTTTAAGGGCATAATCTATGGACAATTTTATCGATGAAAATACTTTAAATTTGGGGCTTGACCCATTTCTCGCATATTTACAAGGATTTAAGTTTTTAATTTTAAGTTTTCACCTCTTCCTTCAAAAACAAGTGATAGCGTGGGTAGTTTAACATTAATAAGCAAAAATTTTTTATCATGCGATAGCCAATAAAATTATCTATTAGTAGAAGTAGAAAATAGATAGAAGTTTCATACATTTTAAGGGTGTAAGAATGAATTTAATTAGAAATAAACACTATTTTTTTTACATCTTTTTCAGTTATTTCCCAACACAAGAAAAACCAGGTCGTTAAGGTATGTTTTATTTGCATTTTTTTATTAGTATTTGAGCTATTCTACAAAACGAATGTAAATTTATTAGTCTACGTCTATTAGTTTCGACGTAATTGTTGAACAGAGATACCCCTTCTCAGCGGTTTCCATAGCGCACGCGACATGCGAAAATGCACTGCCTGAAAGAATCACACAACCTAATCCGATTACTATGGAAACCGCTGGGAATGGGTATCTCTATTCAACAATCACGTCGAAACTAATAGACGTAGACTAATAAATTTACATTCGTTTTGTAGAATAGCTCAAATACTAATAATAAAATGCAAATAAAACATACCTTAACGACCTGGTTTTTCTTGTGTTGGGAAATAACTGAAAAAGATGTGAAAAAAATCGTGTTTATTTCTAATTAAATCCATTCTTACACCCTTAAAATGTATGAAACTTTTATCTGTTTTCTACTTCTACTAATAGATAATTTTATTGGCTATCGCATGATAAAAAATTTTTGCTTATTAATGTTAAACTACCCACGCTATCACTTGTTTTTGAAGGAAGAGGTAAAAACTTAAAATTAAAAACTTAAATCCTTGTAAATATGCGAGAAATGGGTCAAGCCCCAAATTTAAAGTATTTTCACCGATAAAATTGTCCATAGATTACGCCCTTAAAGTTTGATCACTACAAGCCCGGACACACTGTATTGACAAAGTTCACCGTCTTCGGACGCGATATTGGAAATTTGGCATCTAATATCGGCAGAATGACATTAGGCATCGTCTGGCTTTGATATTCAATTTTCAACTGTAATACCTTGACAATCAGTTCAAAATTGATTACTAGAAAATTATTTGACAGACGATTTCTACTGTCGACAAATGCATTTGAATTACTCCACAGGATCGTTTATTGCCTAATATTCCCCATTTTCCTCTATGCGTCGGAAACATGGACTCTTCGTGAAACCGAAAGGAAGAAGATTGACGCATTGGAGATGTGGTGCTGGAGACGGATGCTGGGAATATCGTGGACCGAGTTTCGTACCAATGACTCCATATTAAAAGAACTCGGCATCGGTCAGCGCCTATCAACCACGGTTCAGTCACGCATTTTAACCTTCTTCGGCCATGTATCTCGGCGCAGTTACTCCATACCATGACTCCATAGAGCGTCTCGTAGTGCAGGGAAAAGTTGAGGGCACCAGACCACGTGGTAGATCACTAATGAGATGGACGGACCAGATCAAGGCCGCAACTAAGTGCTCAGTTAGTGAAAGTACCCGGAAAGCTGCAGTCCGCGAGGAATGGCGCCGTATTACGAGGAACATCACTCTGAATCGTGACTCACAATGATGACCACGACCACTCTGACAAGAGTGTACCGACTGAGAAGAAGAAGAACTACTGAAATGCAATCTTGTCATCATCAAGTCACTTGGTCTTTAAAGCAGGAGCACGATATCTCCAATTTACTAGAAGGAAATGAAACAACACGTTCGCCACGCTGGTCGGGTTGTGATGATAAGACCTGTCCATTCCTTCACATACTTAAAATGTCCACGAGAAGATTCTTTCTGACTGTGGGACTTGGTATCAGACGTAATGAAAAACTATAAGCGTCTGATATGGCCCCCAGAACAACGCAATCTTCTTTCTTATAAGGTTTAAGCCTGCGATATCCTAACCAAAGCATTAACAGAAGAGCAACTTTAATTTTCTTACGTCTTTCGTTAGTGTTATGTAACTAAGTAAACTGATTCGATTGATAGGCATCTGGTGCAAACTATTTCTTCTAATTCAAAGGAAACTATTACTTCAAAGTAAAATTAACAATGACAATCGTGATTGCTAATATACAAACCTTAAGATAAGGAAGGAAAATCACGATTCATCATCAAATTTCCGTACTTTAAGCGACTGTCTGAAAAAACGGTAAGCTGAATTGAAATATTACATTTATTTAGTGTAACTTTGTTGTTTTCTTTTGAGAATCCTTTGGGTGCATCTTTTCTTGTACCATGATTCATGAATATAAAATCAATCCGTCTTTTACAATAACTGGCAAATAATTGGCTACTCTATTCCTTTAACATAACATTTTTCGTAAACAAATTACAAATTACGCCAGTATTCACAAACGACGCTTGCTTAAGTGGAACAGCAAACCGAACGTACAGCATTGAATAGAGCTCTGTGGGTCTAGACAAAGTGCAAATTATAATCGCAAACCAGTCGAAAAGTGGTCGAAAAGTCCCTTTTTTGTATGGAGTTTTGACGGATTCGATTTTCGATTCGATCAAAAAGTGCGTTTGTCTAGGGGGGCTGTTATTGGTTCGTATCGTGTGTCACTCTGTGCGTCCACGCGCACTGTGAGACTTTATATTAATGTTTGTGAATACGGGCGTAAGTCCTAGTTGGAACTGGCGTTCCTCGAATCTAAAACACCGTTGGGTTAGGCTGGTTTTAGAGTCACGCTGACGCACGCTGACCGTCAGCGCTGACAGCCCAAATGTATGAAGCGTCGGCGCCGAGCGATCAGCGTCACTCAGGAACGTTCCTTTCAATTACATACATATTGATCTGTCAGCGCCAACGATCAGCGAGCGGTCAGCGCGATTCTAAAACCCGCCTTACTGTCGCATTGTACCAAACATCTTACTTTGAGATCCCTGTGTATGATTCGCTTCTGGTGGCAGTACTGCACCGCGGAGACGATCTGCCGGAACTTGGCACGCGCCTCCTTTTCCTTCATGCGCCCGTGGAGGACCAGGTAGTCGAACACCTGGAAACAAACACAAATAATACATAAATATAGTGCCCTGTTTCGTCTTGGCGAGGCCTCTATAGCAGGGTTTCCCAATTTTTTTTTGCCAAGGAACCCTAATTGATTATACTTTTCCTAGCCGAACCCCCGTACTACTCCGCCCGCACGCCCTACCCCTCCCAAGAAGTCGGTGCGAGCGAACAACGTCGGTCACGAAACGTGGGATAATATTTTTTACGGAACCCCTGCGGCCTTTCCACGGAACCCCAGGGTTCAGCGGACCACCATTCGGGAACCGCTGCTCTATAGTGTTCCCTATATGGGACGGGGCAAGTGGATAAAACTGTGAATGAAAGTGTGAACGATGTTGTATTATATTAATTTTCTTCTGGGATCACACAGGCACGCTACTTGGTTCCGTCTGCCATTTCCTCATTTCTCTTACGTTTCGTTTGCCACATATATTGCAGAGCCAAAGAAAGGGTTCTGGAGTGAAGACCACCACATTCTTCATCTCGGCAAACGTAATTTAGTAGCAATCAATGATATTATATAAAAACAAAAGCAGATATGTTATAAGCGCTCGCGCTGTGAATACTCAAATACGTCCCAATTGGGACGTCTTTAGTTTAGTCTTCGTGTGGCCTGCGTCGTGCGCAATCGCGTGCGTACCACACCGTAAGTTCCTGTTCTTACCAAAATAAATAAAAAATAGAGATGAAACGGATATCCGGCAACTATCCGGTAGGCCGGATATCCGGCCCTAATTTACTATCCGGCCGGATACCGGATAGTAACTCACTATCCGGCCGGATACCGGATATTAAAAAAAAAACGACAATTTCCTATTAATAAAATGAAATACATTAATCTTTGAGGTAAATATCAATAAAATGGCTTACAATAATGACAGCTTTTATTTGAAGTCCAAAAAGTTACAAAAAGCCATATTAAGGCCTCTCAAAACTAATTTATTTTTCTGGGCTATTCACTCTAATGACGAATACATAGATAAATAGTAAATATCTTTTAATGTCGAAATATTGCCAAAAAAATAGGAGATTTTTTTTTCACTGATGGTCTGATGAGATGATGCAACTACACTGGTCATCACAAAGATCGACCCTCCCGCGACAAGCACTTTCAAACGTATGCATCCCCACTTCCCACCAATATTGGCACCATTTAAAAGCCTAGTTCTAAACTTCATTTCATTAAAGGATAGGGTTTTACCCCAAAAATGTGTCTGTAGAACAATCCAGAGTGACTAGTTCAAAAAATAGGTAGTTACGCTTGAGCCGACTTTTATGGCTATAAAACAGTTGGGATTAATCGCTATCCATCTGTTAAAGATGACACGTGAGATCATTATTTGGTTTTATAACCATAAAAATTGGTCTAATTGATCCCAGAGGTGAGCCCAAAGTGAGGTCTTTTTTCAAGTCACATTTATTGTATATNGGGATTTGATCAACTGCCCGACTAAACTATCGGCCGACAAAAAATCATCTAAGATGGTGCAACTCATCCTTAGTTTTGTCTTCGTTTCAAATTACTCTTTTTACCAGAATACTGCGAAGCCAAAAGGATGGGTTATTCGACTAAGCTGAGATCCTAGATGTTGACATAAATTTGACGAAGACTTCCTTCATCTTAAACATTTCCGTACAAGGAATAGCATTCAGAGCACAAAGGATTGCATCAAAAGCATGCACTAGCACCAGGCATTACTCGCTCACGGCACGCTAACAATTTGCGTCTACGGGCGCAGCTTAATTTGTATAAGAGAGCCTTTGAAAGGACTCCTGGCAGGATCTCTGTAGATTTCTACGGGGTTAGAGGCTTTATTGAGGATTCTAATCCTAACATAACGCGCGTTGGAGGAAACTTTAGCTATGTTGGCATGGTAACTTTAATTGGGTTGGCTAGCCTACAGTTCAAAATGAAAATACAATTATTTTGATATTTTATTAGGTGACTAGTGACTGTCATATTTAAAGCATCTTTTTTGTATCCACAACGAGGAAGGCTTGTATCTCACCTGATGGTAAAAGATGATCAGGCCGAAGGTGGAAGCGAGCTTCACCCGGAATCCTCAACCACGGAGGAACTGGCTATCTTACCTCTAACTGCCGGAACACAACAATGCTGTTAACATTGTTGTTATGGCGACAGACTTAGGTAAGATGGTGGTAGCCAGCTAGGCGGACTTGGAACAAGCGCTACCACCAACTAAACCGAACAGAAAAATCTGCCCCCATTGGGAATCAAACCCAGGACCTCTGCGTGTGAACCACTAGACCACAGAGGTACGAGTATCTGGTATTAATTTAGCCTTTTAGTTTCTTATTTCAGACGCTGACTTATAAAACTCAATTCTTCAATACGCTATAATACCTGTACCACGGGACGGACTTCAATAGCTCAAATTCAGTCCGCAGACGATCAGTCCCAAACATCTGGGTTGGTTCGGACTCGAGTATCAATTTGGCCAGGTAATCCGCTGCGAGCGTGTGCTTGTCAGAATAGATGAACTGAACTCACCGTGAGGATAATGAGCAACGATTTTGAATCGATATAAAATCGATATTAAAGTTGAATTGTGTCAACTACCTACCCTTACGTTACGTTAATGTTTTCCAGCTATGCAACAGGTGAGCAAACAGTGTCATTTTTGTCAAAACATTTCACTATTAAAATATATCAGAGCATACAAAATAAGACATTTTTTTTTTAATTTATCGAGTAATAAATTTAAACCATCTCATGGGTTATGAATTTTACCGACTGTAAAAAATACATATTTTCTATATGCAGCACGTTTATTCGAACAGAAGTTTTGGACATGTGAGTGATCAATATTGAAATTGATAAACTGTAAAAAAAACTTCGAAAAATTATGTTTTTAATAAAGAGGGTTGACTCAGCTCTATTTTATATGGTTTTAATCTCGGTTCTCGTAATATTACCATCGGTCCGGTTAGCCACATCGGGCTCAGCAAGCTAAATAACTACGACGCAGCTGCCGAGCGCGTCGCCGCAATACCTGATCAACGAGCGAACTATGAAACGATTTGGCTTTCTGACGTGACTTGTAACAATAGTTGCTGTAGTCTTTTTGGAGTCTCCTAGACTTGCTAGCCTTTTAAAGTAATGTTCAGTGCTCTAATAAAACTATACAGGAGAAGTTTTAGCACGATGCCTTTGCGTTACCTTTCTCCTACAATGCTTTACGTTACCTACCCCTGGAGTTTTCAGCGTGATTTTCTTGAAATGAAACTCAAAAAATTACACAACGAAAAGCATTGATAAAAGCAGAAATTCTTTATACATGTCTGACAACGTTGCACATCTACAAAAACATCCCGTATCTAATTCAAAACCGAGAAAAAACCGACGGGGCTGATCTATTTTTTGCATTCTTTTTACCTACGTATGTAGGGGGTTTTCCAAAACATTCCTTCCGTATGGGAGATTGAGGAGTTGTAACAGAGATACGTTTTAACAAAGTGATTTCTCTGAACCTATGACAGTTTATCAAACTAGCAACCATGTGAAGTCGTCGACAGTTTGCGTGAAATCATCAGCTCGTTGTCATATGTGCAGAAAAATCAACCTTGTTACAAGTCACCTCGGTTACAACTTTCTTAGGTCTCTCCCTAATGTCACTCCTCTCATTTGGTCAAGTTAACAGATTCACCTACAAGGTGGACCGACGACATCGTAAAGGTAGCAGGGAAGCGCTGGACGCAGGCCGCTACCAATCGAACAACGTAGAAAGCATTGGGGGAGGCCTATTTTCAGCAGTGGACGTCCTATGGCTGAAATGATAATGATGAATAGATTCAGTAATCCGTGTTAAGACTTACATTTACAACATAAACTAAGAGCTATTAACAAAACAAACGTCTTCTGTTTTACCAAATGGGCCTTTATTTTTGTATGGCTGTATGTAACGGCTACACACAAAACAGACGGCGAGCAATCCCGCCGGCGGAATCGTCGCATGATTGCTCTAAGGAATCGTTTATTTGAACCGAAACGCACGATTTGACGCCCCCGCACGCACCGACGAACGTTTCTGAACTCTATTGCCCATTACAGCCGACGATATACGAAATTTCAATAAAACTCAATAGAGGGGGACTCCTTTCAAATCGCTTGAGAGTTTGGCTAGATGTGGCTTTAGGTTGTTATGTAAATATGGTTGCGTTTTCATTGCAGCTGCAGGTCCTGGCTGGGTGGTGTGATCGAGAGATGGGAATAGTCCTTGAATTGTGTATCTCAGCATCGTTCGCAATTGCCGTTATTTTGATCTGTGTCTGACATTTTATTCATTGGTAGTGTAGTACCTAGGTACACTATACACTGTATAATAGTAGGAATTGTGGTACTTGCTGAGATTTTCGGCGGTTTTTAATGAATTCAAACTGTTTACAACAAAATTAGTTATTCTAAGATTTATCAAATCTTAGCAGCAGGCAGGAAGCAGTGGTACTACTTACCTCGATGCCCTCATCGAGGTAAGTAGTACCACTGCTTCCTACCAAACTGGGAGCTGCTTACTGGTCCAGACTTATCAGATTTCAAATAAGTTTCCGAAGAAAAAAAGCTCACTATCCACCCTGCAAAAGGCTCATGTTAATAAAGAATTAAAAGGATCTGCGAAAATGTAAGTCATTGTTCAGTGGCTCTTCCCGTGTCACCAGCATCTGCGTCGCCGATTTAATCTTCCAATCGCGGCACTAGCGCATGCCCCTAACTTACTTTTAAAGGAGGGTGACTCCAAGTTATTGCAAATAACCGAGAGAGATGCGTCCAATCAGGAGCCAGTGTACCGTGGCTCTCATCAGGATCTGATCGGCGATACCTACTTAGCGATTGGAATTTATCATTTATCTACTCGAGATTTTTGCGAATTTTCGGTTGGTAATTTTAGCGTGTGGTGCTCGAATTTAACTTTTAAGATGCAACATTTTTTTTAGGTGTACCTATCTATATGTTATAACACATTATTT